TGGGAGTGGGGCGTCTCATCTTGGACCACCAGCTGTGGGAGTGGGGCGTCTCATCTTGGGCCACCAGCTGTGGGAGTGGGGCGTCTCATCTTGGGCCACCAGCTGTGGGAGTGGGGCGTCTCATCTTGGGCCACCAGCTGTGGGAGTGGGGCGTCTCATCTTGGGCCACCAGCTGTGGGAGTGGGGCGTCTCATCTTGGACCACCAGCTGTGGGAGTGGGGCGTCTCATCTTGGGCCACCAGCTGTGGGAGTGGGGCGTCTCATCTTGGACCACCAGCTGTGGGAGTGGGGCGTCTCATCTTGGGCCACCAGCTGTGGGAGTGGGGCGTCTCATCTTGGACCACCAGCTGTGGGAGTGGGGCGTCTCATCTTGGGCCACCAGCTGTGGGAGTGGGGCGTCTCATCTTGGGCCACCAGCTGTGGGAGTGGGGCGTCTCATCTTGGACCACCAGCTGTGGGAGTGGGGCGTCTCATCTTGGGCCACCAGCTGTGGGAGTGGGGCGTCTCATCTTGGACCACCAGCTGTGGGAGTGGGGCGTCTCATCTTGGGCCACCAGCTGTGGGAGTGGGGCGTCTCATCTTGGAGTAACCTATCTAACATTGGGTCCTCTAACATTAGGAGGGTGTTCCACACCCTGATGGCTTGGTGCTGTAGTCTGATGTCTAGTGGCTGTATGTTCAGGCGTTCCTGGAGCTCCTGGATTGTCTGATCATATGGTGGACGTCCATATGATCAGACGTCCCATATGGCTATATGGCTATAGCTGTATGGGCCCCTCTGTGGTGTCTAAACCCATGCTGCCTGGTGTTGTACTTCCCTTCCTCTTCCATGCACTTCACCAGTCTCTGAGTGATTATTTTTTCGAATATTTTACCTGGTACTTCGAGGAGGGAAATTGGCCTGTAGTTTACAGTTTGGGTTGGGGGTTTACCTGGCTTGGGGATTAATCTTATTGTGGCATTCTTGAAGTATGTGGGGAATAGTCCAGATGCAGGAGCTGCATTTATGATACGTGTGTATCGATGGAGTGCAATCACTGGTAGGTTGGATAATACCATCTTATTTATCCTGCTGTTGCCCGGCGCCTTCTTCTGGAAACCCATAATTGTTTAAACAACTGTTGTGGTTTGCATTGTGGGGAAGGTTAGTGTCTTTATTTATATATATCCAAGAGTTCTTACATGTTTGCAAATTGGTCTAGGAAGGACCTCAGTAAGACTTAAGTACTCTCACCCCTCCCCCCCATAAAGGGGCTGTACATACAGAAAATACTAATCGTATCTATATTTAGATTTCTTAATTATCAAGGAAGTAGCAATTAGGTAATAGCGAGTGCAAATTAAATATTTAAGTCTCCGATCAAGAACAAAAATAATCATTTTCTATGAATAACATTCGCAGTCAGTTTTCTATCTTTTTTAATGGGTAACTGTAAACAAATATTATTCGTCTGGAGATTACCTGAATTGACCTGATGTAGCGGGTACAGGGGTCACAAAAAGCCAATAGTTTGTCAAAGATATCCTCCCCTATTGCATTTTTCTTTTTCCAGCTGTTTTTTGACATAGAACTGTCTTGGTGGCCTATTTGTGGTTTTGAGAATGGATATTTAAGTTAGAAGGTGTGGTTGGTCTTAAGCACCTCCTAATATCGGCAAGGTTATATAAGTAATGTTGGACCATTTAGAGGTGAATTGAATTTAGATTTTGTTACTAGGAATATTTCAAATTCAGTCATTTGCTTAATAAGTGATATCTGGCTTGTCCTCATATCCCAGCTCCTTGTCCTCTTATCCCAGCTCCTTGTCCTTATATCCCAGCTCCTTGTTTTCATATCCCAGCTCCTTGTCCTCATATCCCATCTCCTTGTCCTCATATCCCAGCTCCTTGTCCTTATATCCCAGCTCCTTGTCCTTATATCCCAGCTCATTGTCCTCATATCCCAGCTCCTTGTCCTCATACCCCAGCTCCTTGTCCTCATATCCCAGCTCCTTGTCCTCATATCACAGCTCCTTGTCCTCATATCCCAGCTCCTTGTCCTCATACCCAGCTCCTTGTCCTCATATCCCAGCTCCTTGTCCTTATATCCCAGCTCCTTGTCCTCATACCCAGCTCCTTGTCCTCATATCCCAGCTCCTTGTCCTTATATCCCAGCTCGTTGTCCTCATGCCCAGCTCCTTGTCCTTATATCCCAGCTCCTTGTCCTCATATCCCAGCTCCTTGTCCTCATACCCAGCTCCTTGTCCTCATATCCCAGCTCCTTGTCCTCATATCCCAGCTCCTTGTCCTTATACCCCAGCTCCTTGTCCTCATACCCCAGTTCCTTGTCCTCATATCCCAGCTCCTTGTCCTCGTATCCCAGCTCCTTGTCCTCATATCCCAGCTCCTTGTCCTCATACCCCAGCTCCTTGTCCTTATACCCCAGCTCCTTGTCCTCATACCCCAGCTCCTTGTCCTCATACCCCAGCTCCTTGTCCTCATACCCCAGCTCCTTGTCCTTATACCCCAGCTCCTTGTCCTCATATCCCAGCTCCTTGTCCTCGTATCCCAGCTCCTTGTCCTCATATCCCAGCTCCTTGTCCTTATACCCCAGCTCCTTGTCCTCATATCCCAGCTCCTTGTCCTCATATCCCAGCTCCTTGTCCTCGTATCCCAGCTCCTTATCCTCATATCCCAGCTCCTTGTCCTTATACCCCAGCTCCTTGTCCTCATATCCCAGCTCCTTGTCCTCGTATCCCAGCTCCTTGTCCTCGTATCCCAGCTCCTTGTCTTCATATCACAGCTCCTTGTCCTCATATCCCATGTCCTTGTCTTCATATCCCAGCTCCTTGTCCTCGTATCCCAGCTCCTTGTCCTCATATCCCAGTTCCTGGTCCTCATACCCCAGCTCCTTGTCCTCTTATCCCAGCTCCTTGTCCTTATATCCCAGCTCCTTGTTTTCATATCCCAGCTCCTTGTTTTCATATCCCAGCTCCTTGTCCTCATATCCCATCTCCTTGTCCTCATATCCCAGCTCCTTGTCCTTATACCCCAGCTCCTTGTCCTCATATCCCAGCTCCTTGTCCTCGTATCCCAGCTCCTTATCCTCATATCCCAGCTCCTTGTCCTTATACCCCAGCTCCTTGTCCTCATATCCCAGCTCCTTGTCCTCGTATCCCAGCTCCTTGTCCTCGTATCCCAGCTCCTTGTCTTCATATCACAGCTCCTTGTCCTCATATCCCATGTCCTTGTCTTCATATCCCAGCTCCTTGTCCTCGTATCCCAGCTCCTTGTCCTCATATCCCAGTTCCTGGTCCTCATACCCCAGCTCCTTGTCCTCTTATCCCAGCTCCTTGTCCTTATATCCCAGCTCCTTGTTTTCATATCCCAGCTCCTTGTCCTCATATCCCATCTCCTTGTCCTCATATCCCAGCTCCTTGTCCTTATATCCCAGCTCCTTGTCCTTATATCCCAGCTCATTGTCCTCATATCCCAGCTCATTGTCCTCATACCCCAGCTCCTTGTCCTCATATCCCAGCTCCTTGTCCTCATATCACAGCTCCTTGTCCTCATATCCCAGCTCCTTGTCCTTATATCCCAGCTCGTTGTCCTCATACCCAGCTCCTTGTCCTCATATCCCAGCTCCTTGTCCTTATATCCCAGCTCGTTGTCCTCATGCCCAGCTCCTTGTCCTTATATCCCAGCTCCTTGTCCTCATATCCCAGCTCCTTGTCCTCATACCCAGCTCCTTGTCCCCATATCCCAGCTCCTTGTCCTCATGCCCCAACTCCTTGTCCTCATAACCCAGCTCCTTGTCCTCATAACCCAGCTCCTTGTCCTCATATCCCAGCTCCCTTGTCCTTGTATCCCAGTTCCTTGTCCTCATACCCAGCTCCTTGTCCTCATATCCCAGCTCCTTGCCCTCATACCCCAACTTCTTGTCCTCATAACCCAGCTCCTTGTCCTCATATCCCAGCTCCTTGTCCTCATATCCCAGCTCCTTGTCCTCGTATCCCAGCTCCTTGTCCTCGTATCCCAGCTCCTTGTCCTCATACCCCAGCTCCTTGTCCTCATACCCCAGCTCCTTGTCTGAGCTGGGGGATGAGGTACAGCAGCTGCCTCGTATGGACCAATAGGAGCTGCCTCGTATGGACCAATAGGAGCTGCCTCGAATGGACCAATAGGAGCTGCCTCGTATGGACCAATAGGAGTTGCCTCGTATGGACCAATAGCAGCTGCCTCGTATGGACCAATAGCAGCTGCCTCGTATGGACCAATAGCAGCTGCCTCGTATGGACCAATAGCAGCTGCCTCGTATGGACCAATAGCAGCTGCCTCGTATGGACCAATAGCAGCTGCCTCGTATGGACCAATAGGAACTGCCGCGTATGGACCAATAGGAGCTGCCTCGTATGGACCAATAGGAGCTGCCTCGTATGGACCAATAGGAGCTGCCTCGTATGGATCAATAGGAGCTGCCTCGTATGGACCAATAGGAGCTGCCTCGTATGGACCAATAGGAGCTGCCTCGTATGGACCAATAGGAGCTGCCTCGTATGGACCAATAGGAGCTGCCTCGTATGGACCAATAGGAGTTGCCTCGTATGGACCAATAGCAGCTGCCTCGTATGGACCAATAGCAGCTGCCTCGTATGGACCAATAGCAGCTGCCTCGTATGGACCAATAGCAGCTGCCTCGTATGGACCAATAGGAGCTGCCTCGTATGGAGCAATAGCAGCTGCCTCGTATGGACCAATAGCAGCTGCCTCGTATGGCCCAGTAGGAGCTGCCTCGTATGGACCAATAGCAGCTGCCTCGTATGGACCAATAGCAGCTGCCTCGTATGGACCAATAGCAGCTGCCTCGTATGGACCAATAGCAGCTGCCTCGTATGGACCAATAGCAGCTGCCTCGTATCAGCACAACAGGGAGACAATTATATATATATAACAATTATACACGAAGGAGACATTATACACGGAGGAGACATTATACATGAAGGAGACATTATACAACACACTGAATATTGTACTGTGTTCCCAGGGGGATTTTATTTACATGCAAATACATGCAGCATACATCTTTACAATATACAATAATTGATTTCAAACTGATGAGGCACAGGGAACTTGTATATAAATGTGGCGCGCGCAAGAGTCTTGTTGTCAGGCAACCAATGGCAACGAGACAATTTTTAATTTTCAATTTTTTTTCGTTTTGTATAATGATTCCTTGGTGAGAAATAACGTTGTTGAGCGTAATGCTGAGAAAACATTTTGTAGACTGATGGAACAACTTTTTACAAATATTGACATCTTACGGGTTTGCTAAACGAGGCTAATATTTCTGCTCATTGTTCCATATGAATGGTTAGGCCTCCTAGTTGGGTTCCTAGAATGGTTAGGCTTCCTAGTTGGTTTCCTAGAATGGTTAGGCTTCCTAGTTAGGTTCCTAGAATGGTTAGGCTTCCTAGTTAGGTTCCAAGAATGGTTAGGCTTCCTAGTTAGGTTCCAAGAATGGTTAGGCTTCCTAGTTAGGTTCCAAGAATGGTTAGGCTTCCTAGTTAGGTTCCAAGAATGGTTAGGCTTCCTAGTTAGGTTCCTAGAATGGTTAGGCTTCCTAGTTAGGTTCCTAGAATGGTTAGGCTTCCTAGTTAGGTTCCAAGAATGGTTAGGCTTCCTAGTTAGGTTCCAAGAATGGTTAGGCTTCCTAGTTAGGTTCCAAGAATGGTTAGGCTTCCTAGTTAGGTTCCTAGAATGGTTAGGCTTCCTAGTTAGGTTCCTAGAATGGTTAGGCTTCCTAGTTAGGTTCCTAGAATGGTTAGGCTTCCTAGTTAGGTTCCTAGAATGGTTAGGCTTCCTAGTTAGGTTCCTAGAATGGTTAGGCTTCCTAGTTTAGCTAATTTACATATTATTACTATTTAGGCATCCGGTTTCAACATCATTTAAGACCCCAATAGAGAAAACTGTGACCAATTATAAATTGAATGTTAATTTTACTTAGAAAAACAAAAATGTGTCCGTAAATTTAACAAAGTCCGGAGAGCTTTTGGCATAGTGTCTGAGGTTCAAAAGTAAACTCTACTGTTACTTGGGTTTACAATTGTCTTAGATCTTGTCTATGTACACGTTAGTATATTTTGATTTAGAATACTTTCTTTGTGATTAGAAGTCTGTGATGGAAAGATAGTATAGCTAGGCGGTGTCTGTTAGCTGGGATCGGTGCTGGGGGAGGCAGCAGCCTCACTATACATGGGATTGGCCATGCCCTCAGCAGCCTCAGCATCCTCAGCAGGCTCGTTGATCTCAGCATTGCTAGGAAGGTTCTCCTGGGAAGCCTTCCTGCCGTTAAGCAGGATAGGGAACCTTCCCAGTCCATAGTAGCGGGTGAGACCATCTTGGGCCCTGTAGGTGTAGAGGGCGACGCTGGCCAGCACCAGGAGGGCCAGCAGTGCCACCAGCACCCAGGTGGCACTGGTCGTCACTCGCAGCTCCAGGGGATGCTGTATGTTAATCACCAGGAAGATCTGTGGGCGTAAGAGGTAGTAGGTCAAGTGTGATTGTGGTCTGGTGACTGGAGCAAGGGGCAGAATTCACAAATACTAATGATTATCAGTACTATGGCGTTCCATTATATTACATTATACATGACTTTCAGTTACATAATGTTATAGTATGTCTTTATAGTTGTATTAGATGCATGTTGTATTATACAACCATTGTATACCAACGATTCAAGGATGCAGTCATAGGTTGTGGACGCGTTCAAAATTTTGTCTGCTGGGTATCAGGCTAGCCAACTGTAGCGCGTTCAGTGATATATATATTATTTTGACCTGTAGTGCTAATACTAGTGATATTATGTTTATTATTACTTAATATAATTACTACTCATTATATCTGATATGGCAGTGTTGGCCAGAGTGATTAGAGGAGGATTACGTTGTATTAAGATATAAGAAAGGTTGGCAGCCCTTGTGTACCAGCTCCTCCCTGAGTCAACTTGAGCCGCTTTGGCGAGCAATCAGTGCCGCCTGGACACTGGGAGGAGGAGGTTGTCGTCGGCCGCTCTGAGATAAGTAGTGGTTTAATCTACTTAAAATTGTATCGACTTATGTCTGCTTAAAACAGTTATTGTTTGCTGTGTTCAAAGTATATTAAGACCAGCTGTGGTCAATGTAATTATTGGGTATTATAACTTCAGTGATCAACACTGCTTATAAGAATACAAGTTTTAACAGGTGTGGAAGGCTTACCTGTGGGTTGCCACAGGTGTGGAAGGCTTACCTGTGGGTTGCCACAGGTGTGGAAGGCTTACCTGTGGGTTGCCACAGGTGTGGAAGGCTTACCTGTGGGTTGCCACAGGAGTGGAAGGCTTACCTGTGGGTTGCCACAGGTGTGGAAGGCTTACCTGTGGGTTGCCACAGGTGTGGAAGGCTTACCTGTGGGTTGCCACAGGTGTGGAAGGCTTACCTGTGGGTTGCCACAGGAGTGGAAGGCTTACCTGTGGGTTGCCACAGGTGTGGAAGGCTTACCTGTGGGTTGCCACAGATGTGTAAGGCTTACCTGTGGGTTGCCACAGGTGTGGAAGGCTTACCTGTGGGTTGCCACAGATGTGTAAGGCTTACCTGTGGGTTGCCACAGGTGTGTAAGGCTTACCTGTGGGTTACCACATGTGTGGAAGGCTTATAGGTTGCCACAGGTGTGGAAGGCTTACCTGTGGATTGCCACAGATGTGTAAGGCTTACCTGTGGGTTGTTACAGATGTGTAAGGCTTACCTGTGGGTTGCCACAGGTGTGGAAGGCTTACCTGTGGATTGCCACAGATGTGTAAGGCTTACCTGTGGGTTGTTACAGATGTGTAAGGCTTACCTGTGGGTTGCCACAGGTGTGGAAGGATTACCTGTGGGTTGCCACAGGTGTGTAAGGCTTACCTGTGGGTTGCCACAGGTGTGTAAGGCTTACCTGTGGGTTGCCACAGGTGTGTAAGGCTTACCTGTGGGTTGCCACAGATGTGTAAGGCTTACCTGTGGGTTGCCACAGATGTGTAAGGCTTACCTGTGGGTTGCCACAGGTGTGGAAGGCTTACCTGTGGGTTGCCACAGGTGTGGAAGGCTTACCTGTGGGTTGCCACATTTGTAGAAGGCTTACCTGTGGGTTGCCACAGGTGTGTAAGGCTTACCTGTGGGTTGCCACAGGTGTGGAAGGCTTACCTGTGGGTTGCCACAGGTGTGGAAGGCTAACCTGTGGGTTGCCACAGGTGTGGAAGGCTTACCTGTGGGTTGCCACATTTGTAGAAGGCTTACCTGTGGGTTGCCACAGGTGTGTAAAGCTTACCTGTGGGTTGCCACAGGTGTGTAAAGCTTACCTGTGGGTTGCCACAGGTGTGTAAGGCTTACCTGTGGGTTGCCACAGGTGTGGAAGGCTTACCTGTGGGTTGCCACAGGTGTGGAAGGCTTACCTGTGGGTTGCCACAGGTGTGGAAGGCTTACCTGTGGGTTGCCACAGGTGTGGAAGGCTTACCTGTGGGTTGCCACAGGTGTGGAAGGCTTACCTGTGGGTTGCCACAAGTGTGGAAGGCTTACCTGTGGGTTGCCACAGGTGTGGAAGGCTTACCTGTGGATTGCCACAGGTGTGTAAGGCTTACCTGCGGGTTGCCACAGGTGTGTAAGGCTTACCTGCGGGTTGCCACACGCATGTAAGGCTTATAGGTTGCCAAAGGTGTGGAAGGCTTACTTGTGGGTTGCCACAGGTGTGTAAGGCTTACTTGTGGGTTGCCACACGTATGGAAGGCTTACCTGTGGATTGCCACACGTATGGAAGGCTTACCTGCAGGTTGCCACACGTATGGAAGGCTTACCTGTGGGTTGCCACAGGTGTGTAAGGCTTACCTGCGGGTTGCCACAGGTGTGTAAGGCTTACCTGTGGGTTGCCACAGGTGTGTAAGGCTTACCTGTGGGTTGCCACAGGAGGTGTGGAAGGGGGTGGAGGTGTCGTTGAGTGCCAGGTCCTGAGGAGTGGCAACATGGATGACGTTCCTCTCGAGGGAGGTGCGGTTGTGGCACACCAGCCCCTCGAGGGCGTCACGCTCCCACGCCTCGATGACGTTCTCGTCGAAGATGACGTCGCCCGTCACGTCCACCTAGGGTTCGAATCCTCTCTCAGGTTAGTAGGGCTTGAGAAGTGGCGAGGAGCAACACTGATTTAATGGCCTCAATATTGCTCATTGTTGAAGTGAAATGCTTCATTATACAAACTGGGAATAGCTTTTGCGTTAAAATATCGAGATTTTTAAAATAAAATGGAGAAATTGGTTTAAAAATTAAATTTTGTGTAAATTTTTTTTTTTAAATTTTGCGTAGTGAGAATTTTATATTGTATAACATCTAGAGCTATACTATAACCATATATTATTCCTGACCTTATTATACAAAGAGTAAGAGGGGGACAGAATTCACTAAGGATTTACGAAACGTGTACATCTTTCCTCGATCACGGCAGCTTAGTTGTGTTTATTAATAGTTTGAGCTTAGAAACGTTCCAAGGATGTCCTGGACCAATGCTATAGACAGATCAAGATCAGACAGATGAAAATCACAGCCTGACAGCTCTTGTAAACTCTTTAACCCTTTCACTGCTACAATCGCAAATGTACGTTCTTTTTCCCCCATTTGATTTGTTAACTATTTTTAGTATTTCTAAATAGCTGTATTATTTAGGAGTTATTGAAAAGTAATTCACCATGACTGGGAGAGAGAGAGAGAGAGATGCACAGGTTTCGCAGGTGCTGGGTAGATCCTGAGGCTAATATCTGACCTTAAAAGCTTGCTTCTGGAGTTTCTGGAAGTAGTTTCCGGTGATGGTGACTGTGATGTCCCCCGCGGCGGTGAGTGCCCCGGTGCCCACAGTGCCCAATTGGCTGTTGACCAGCAAAGCCACTTCCATGTCTGACTGTGTGGGAGAGAGACGTCACCAGATGTCACTTGTTCTATACATGGTACCTGTGTCCCTCGTGTGTCCAGGGCTTAGGGATTTATGGAGAGAGAGTTTCAAGCATAGGTTGAAACTATCCAGGGGGTGACTGGGCGTCGGGGAAATTGATCCCCGGAACCTCCACAAGGTAGGTTGGTAGTAGGTTAGGCATGTATATGAATACGTTTGGATGGGTATAAATAGCTGTCTCACTAGGGACAATAGGAGCTGCTTTGTGTGGACCAATAGGAGCTGCCTCAAATGGACCAATAGGAGCTGCTGCCTCGTATGGACCAATAGGAGCTGCTGCCTCGTATGGACCAATAGGAGCTGCTGCCTCGTATGGACCAATAGGAGCTGCTGCCTCGTATGGACCAATAGGAGCTGCTGCCTCGTATGGACCAATAGGAGCTGCTGCCTCGTATGGACCAATAGGAGCTGCTGCCTCGTATGGACCAATAGGAGCTGCTGCCTCGTATGGACCAATAGGAGCTGCTGCCTCGTATGGACCAATAGGAGCTGCTGCCTCGTATGGACCAATAGGAGCTGCCTCATATGGACCAATAGTAGCTGCCTCGTATGGACCAATAGGAGCTGCCTCGTATGGACGTACAAGATACCTATTATCTCAACCTAATGGTTGAGATAATAGGTATTATTAGATACCTATTATCTCATCTCATAGTACCTCATAGTACATAGTATCTCATAGTACAAGATACCTATTATCTCAACCTAATGGTTGAGATAATAGGTATCTGATGATAGCACATCTCGACCAGTATGACGGGATCACCATAGCCCGTGCTGCTTGGAACTTTTTGTTCACAGTAGCTGAATCTAAAACAACAACAACATAGATATCTGATGGGTGAGAGAGTGGGTGTATAATGGGGTTACCTGATTGGTGAGAGTGGGTGTATAATGGGGTTACCTGATGGGTGAGTGTATAATGGGGTTACCTGATGGGTGAGTGTATAATGGGGTTACCTGATTGGTGAGAGTGGGTGTATAATGGGGTTACCTGATGGGTGAGTGTATAATGGAGTTACCTGATGGGTGAGTGTATAATGGGAGTTACCTGATGAGTAAGGTTGAAGGCGTCAGGTCCCACACTGGCGATGGTAACGTTAGAGAGCAGGAGACCTGACCAACTGTGGACGGTCCTGGTACTCAGGGTCACGAACCCTTCTGATGCCACCGACCCTTCCACCACATCCACTACCGTATCGTCCAGTACCAGGTACCTCATCTGTTGGTACAGGGGGGGCTGTTAGTGTAGGGTACCAGGTACCTCATCTGTTGGTACAGTGGGGGCTGTTAGTGTAGGGTACCAGGTACCTCATCTGTTGGTACAGTGGGGGCTGTTAGTGTAGGGTACCAGGTACCTCATCTGTTGGTACAGGGGGGCTGTTAGTGTAGGGTATTAGGTACCTCATCTGTTGGTACAGGAGATGTTAGTGTAGGGTACCAGGTACCTCATCTGTTGGTACAGGGGCTGGTAGTGCAGGGTACCAGCATAATATATATGCTGGTACCTTTAAACAAGACAGTGGTGTAGACGGAAGTCATTTACATACAAGCATGAGAGAAATGGAGTGGCAATTAACTCAGAGTAATTATAGCTCGTTATTTAATTCAACGTTCGTAATTTAAATTCAAATTTAAATAATAATCATAGTTATAACACCCTAATTACCTAATCACATATGCCCACCTCAAAGGCAGATGGTTGAAATATGTTAAAAGGGTTGGTATACTGAGACGAGCTACACATGAGGTTAGGAAGTGTATATGTTTATCTCTCAGAATGTTCGGTAATATGTTTATTGCTTGTGGTGTGTGTATACGTGTGTATTAACACGATGTACTGAACGGGGTGAGAATAGCTTGAGCTACCTCATCCCTTTGTGTGTATTTTACCTCAATAAACTTATGTGAAATTGACAATTGAAATAAGATCGTCTCAGTGACGTAATATGTATGAAAACATCGTCAGAGCAAAACAGTAAGGGAACCAGCGTCCCGGGCGTCCCTTTAGACGCCGGTGGCCTAGAGGTATGACGCGCGTCTCTTGTTACCCTGGACGCTAGTTCGATCCCTTTCCTGCTTCAGTGGTTGCCTCGAAGAATAGTAAATTACAGAAGGGATATGAGGCAGACTAAGAACTGGGACCATCGGGAATCGAACGCCGACGTCTCAAGAAGAGGTGCCGTCGTTCTACCGATCAATGCAAGTGGGCATAGTGATGCCCACAGAGCACAGTCTGACCTTCGTGGTGACCTGGTCATCCTGTGACCCTAAGGAGGACCTCCCTTATCAGTCACTTGTTCTGCTATATATACTGATTTTTGCGATTTAGACTTCTCCATTTATGTCTAGTCTGACCTGATCATTCTTTTGTAACCCAGTGACCTCTTCACTCTAGTGACCTTGTGACCAGGTCAGTTACCCTGCCTGACCTGCCTTCTGACCTGCTTGACCTGCCTCCACTGACCTGCTTGATGTTGTGGAGGGCGCCCTTCCGGAAGATACCAACGCGACTCGACTTGATCCTGAACCCACCTCTGGTCCTGTCTCGGAGAAGCTTTTCCGGAACCTCAGAGATGTTACAGCTTACAATGCCTATACCTGTACCAGGGGAGGAGGTTAGTGTTGGTGCATGGCGTGGTGGTGGTGGTTGGTGGGGGGGGGGTTGCATGGGGTTGTGGTGGTGGTGGGGGGGTTGCATGGGGTTGTGGTGGTGGTGGGGGGGTTGCATGGGGTTGTGGTGGTGGTGGGGGGGGTTGCATGGGGTTGTGGTGGTGGGGGGGGGTTGCATGGGGTTGTGGTGGTGGGGGGGTTGCATGGGGTTGTGGTGGTGGTGGTGGGGGGGTTGCATGGGGTTGTGGTGGTGGGGGGGTTGCATGGGGTTGTGGTGGTGGTGGGGGGGTTGCATGGGGTTGCATGTTGTGGTGGTGGTGGGGTTGCATGGGGTTGTGGTGGTGGTGGGGGGGGTTGCATGGGGTTGTGGTGGTGGGGGGGGGGTTGCATGGGGTTGTGGTGGTGGTGGGGGGGTTGCATGGGGTTGTGGTGGTGGTGGGGGGGTTGCATGGGGTTGTGGTGGTGGGGGGGTTGCATGGGGTTGTGGTGGTGGTGGGGGGGTTGCATGGGGTTGTGGTGGTGGGGGGGGGGTTGCATGGGGTTGTGGTGGTGGTGGGGGGGTTGCATGGGGTTGTGGTGGTGGTGGGGGGGGTTGCATGGGGTTGTGGTGGTGGGGGGGGGGTTGCATGGGGTTGTGGTGGTGGGGGGGGGTTGCATGGGGTTGTGGTGGTGGTGGGGGGGTTGCATGGGGTTGTGGTGGTGGTGGGGGGGGGTTGCATGGGGTTGTGGTGGTGGTGGGGGGGGTTGCATGGGGTTGTGGTGGTGGTGGGGGGGTTGCATGGGGTTGTGGTGGTGGTGGGGGGGTTGCATGGGGTTGTGGTGGTGGTGGGGGGGGTTGCATGGGGTTGTGGTGGTGGGGGGGTTGCATGGGGTTGTGGTGGTGGGGGGGTTGCATGGGGTTATAGGAGAGGGGGTATATTTTATGTTGACGATTCCAGGGGTGACTGATAGATGCATACTCGTGATGTGTATAGAGTCTAGACATGATGTGTGGCCAGATGACAGGTCAGTATTAGACATGTCAACAAAATATTCTTCTGTCGATTAATAATTTGGTCAAACAAGAATTATGAACGATGGAACAACCCCTTACGAAACCTGTACATCTTTTAAACAACTATGATGCCTTTGTTTACATATATTAAACAAGTTACGAGCCCCGAAGCACTGTACGAGGTTGTTTACAACAACTTGGGTTGTAAAGTTCCCAGCTCATAAACTGTTTATTAAATGTAAACAAAGCCGATTGTTTTCAAAAGATGTACACGTTTCGTAAATAATAATCTCACCCACAAACGTCCTGTAGGCGGCGAGTTTCTCGTGGTTATCGAGCTGGGGCATGGACTCCAGGGTGAGGTTCCCACCGTGCCAGATATCGAGGGCGGCAGAGGGCGCCTGCAGCCACTCCTGCAGGAACTCCCCCGTCACCAGGAGGCTGGAGGCGTTGACCATCCTCACGTAAGCGCTGGTCAGGCTGAAGTTGCGGAACGAGAAGAGCTCCTTGTTCAACACCACGTTCTGAGGGGGAGCAGGAGGGGTTAGTGCCGCTATATATATATATATATATATATATATATATATATATATATATATATATATATATATATATATATATATATATATATATATATATATATATATGGTACTGTGGTGTTTGTCCTGGCTACTGGCGTCATACTTGAGTACTGAGCACATCTGGCTCTCTTGTATCTCAGGTACACTATCGTCAGGTGATGCTACTGCTATGCCACCACTGTCATGCCTCTACTGCCATGCCACCACTGCCATGCCTCTACTGCCATGCCACCACTGACATGCCTCTACTGCCATGCCTCTACTGCCATGCCACCACTGTCATGCCTCTACTGCCATGCCACCACTGCCATGCCTCTACTGCCATGCCACCACTGACATGCCTCTACTGCCATGCCTCTACTGCCATGCCACCACTGACATGCCTCTACTGCCATGCCTCTACTGCCATGCCACCACTGCCATGCCTCTACTGCCATGCCTCTACTGCCATGCCTCTACTGCCATGCCTCTACTGCCATGCCACCACTGACATGCCTCTACTGCCATGCCTCTACTGCCATGCCACCACTGTCATGCCACCACTGTCATGCCTCTACTGCCATGCCACCACTGCCATGCCTCTACTGCCATGCCACCACTGACATGCCTCTACTGCCATGCCTCTACTGCCATGCCACCACTGTCATGCCTCTACTGCCATGCCACCACTGCCATGCCTCTACTGCCATGCCACCACTGACATGCCTCTACTGCCATGCCTCTACTGCCATGCCTCTACTGCCATGCCTCTACTGCCATGCCACCACTGCCATGCCTCTACTGCCATGCCTCTACTGCCATGCCTCTACTGCCATGCCTCTACTGCCATGCCACCACTGACATGCCTCTACTGCCATGCCTCTACTGCCATGCCACCACTGCCATGCCACAACTGCCATGCCACCACTGCCATGCCACCACTGCCATGCCACCACTGCCATGCCACCACTGCCATGCCACCACTGCCATGCCTCTACTGCCATGCCACCACTGTCATGCCTCTACTGTCATGCCACCACTGCCATGCCACCACTGCCATGCCACCACTGCCATGCCACCACTGTCATGCCTCTACTGCCATGCCACCACTGCCATGCCACCACTGCCATGCCTCTACTGCCATGCCACCACTGTCATGCCTCTACTGTCATGCCACCACTGTCATGCCTCTACTGTCATGCCACCACTGTCATGCCTCTACTGTCATGCCACCACTGCCATGCCACCACTGCCATGCCTCTACTGCCATGCCACCACTGTCATGCCTCTACTGTCATGCCACCACTGCCATGCCACCACTGCCATGCCACCACTGCCATGCCACCACTGCCATGCCTCTACTGCCATGCCACCACTGTCATGCCTCTACTGTCATGCCACCACTGCCATGCCACCACTGCCATGCCACCACTGCCATGCCTCTACTGCCATGCCACCACTGCCATGCCACCACTGCCATGCCACCACTGCCATGCCTCTACTGCCATGCCACCACTGTCATGCCTCTACTGTCATGCCACCACTGTCATGCCTCTACTGCCATGCCACCACTGTCATGCCTCTACTGCCATGCCACCACTGTCATGCCACCACTGCCATGCCTCTACTGCCATGCCACCACTGTCATGCCTCTACTGCCATGCCACCACTGTCATGCCTCTACTGCCATGCCACCACTGTCATGCCACCACTGCCATGCCTCTACTGCCATGCCACCACTGTCATGCCTCTACTGCCATGCCACCACTGCCATGCCACCACTGCCATGCCTCTACTGCCATGCCACCACTGTCATGCCTCTACTGCCATGCCACCACTGTCATGCCTCTACTGCCATGCCACCACTGTCATGCCTCTACTACCATGCCACCACTGTCATGCCACCACTGCCATGCCTCTACTGCCATGCCACCACTGTCATGCCTCTACTGCCATGCCACCACTGTCATGCCTCTACTGTCATGCCACCACTGTCATGCCACCACTGACATGCCTCTACTGTCATGCCACCACTGCCATGCCTCTACTGCCATGCCACCACTGCCATGCCTCTACTGTCATGCCACCACTGTCATGCCACCACTGCCATGCCTCTACTGCCATGCCACCACTGCCATGCCTCTACTGTCATGCCACCACTGCCATGCCTCTACTGCCATGCCACCACTGTCATGCCTCTACTGTCATGCCACCACTGTCATGCCACCACTGCCATGCCTCTACTGCCATGCCACCACTGTCATGCCACCACTGCCATGCCACCACTGTCATGCCTCTACTGCCATGCCACCACTGACATGCCTCTACTGTCATGCCACCACTGTCATGCCACCACTGCCATGCCTCTACTGCCATGCCTCTACTGCCATGCCACCACTGACATGCCTCTACTGTCATGCCACCACTGTCATGCCATCACTGCCATGCCTCTACTGCCATGCCTCTACTGCCATGCCACCACTGACATGCCTCTACTGTCATGCCACCACTGTCATGCCACCACTGCCATGCCTCTACTGCCATGCCACCACTGACATGTCTCTACTGCCATGCCTCTACTGCCATGCCTCTACTGCCATGCCACCACTGTCATGCCTCTACTGACATGCCTCTACTGCCATGCCTCTACTGCCATGCCACCACTGACATGCCTCTACTGCCATGCCTCTACTGCCATGCCACCACTGACATGCCACCACTGACATGCCTCTACTGCCATGCCTCTACTGCCATGCCACCACTGTCATGCCACCACTGTCATGCCACCACTGCCATGCCACCACTGCCATGCCACCACTGCCATGCCTCTACTGCCATGCCACCACTGCCATGCCACCACTGCCATGCCTCTACTGCCATGCCACCACTGACATGCCTCTACTGCCATGCCTCTACTGCCATGCCTCTACTGCCATGCCACCACTGCCATGCCTCTACTGCCATGCCACCACTGTCATGCCACCACTGTCATGCCACCACTGACATGCCTCTACTGCCATGCCACCACTGCCATGCCTCTACTGTCATGCCACCACTGTCATGCCTCTACTGTCATGCCACCACTGCCATGCCACCACTGACATGCCTCTACTGTCATGCCACCACTGCCATGCCACCACTGCCATGCCTCTACTGTCATGCCACCACTGCCATGCCTCTACTGTCATGCCACCACTGCCATGCCTCTACTGTCATGCCACCACTGCCATGCCACCACTGCCATGCCACCACTGACATGCCTCTACTGCCATGCCTCTACTGTCATGCCACCACTGCCATGCCACCACTGACATGCCTCTACTGTCATGCCACCACTGCCATGCCACCACTGCCATGCCTCTACTGTCATGCCACCACTGCCATGCCACCACTGCCATGCCTCTACTGTCATGCCACCACTGACATGCCTCTACTGCCATGCCTCTACTGCCATGCCTCTACTGCCATGCCTCTACTGTCATGCCACCACTGACATGCCTCTACTGCCATGCCACCACTGCCATGCCTCTACTGTCATGCCACCACTGTCATGCCTCTACTGCCATGCCACCACTGACATGCCTCTACTGTCATGCCACCACTGCCATGCCTCTACTGCCATGCCACCACTGTCATGCCACACCTGTCATGCCACCACTGCCATGCCACCACTGCCATGCCACCACTGCCATGCCACCACTGACATGCCTCTACTGCCATGCCACCACAGCCACACCACCCCAGCCACACCACCCCAGCCACACCACCACAACCACACCACCACAGCCACACTACCACCAGGTACCACCACAACCACACCACCACAGCCACACCACCACAACCACACCACCACAGCCACACCACCACAGCCACACCACCACCAGGTACCACCCAACCACACCACCACCAGGTACCACCCCAACCACACCACCACAGCCACACCACCACAGCCACACCACCATAGTCACACCACCACAGCACCACAACCACACCACCACAACCACACCACCACAACCACACCACCACAACCACACCACCACAGCCACACCACCACAGCCACACCACCACAGCCACACCACCACAACCACACCACCACAGCCACACCACCACAGCCACACCACAACCACACCACCACAACCACACCACCACCACAACCACACCACCACAGCCACACCACCACCACAACCACACCACCACCACAACCACACCACCACAGCCACACCACCACCACAGCCACACCACCACCACAACCACACCACCACCACAACCACACCACCACCACAACCACACCACCACCACAACCACACCACCACCACAACCACACCACTACCACAACCACACCACCACCACAACCACACCACCACAGCCACACCACCACCACAGCCACACCACCACAGCCACACCACCACCACAGCCCCACCACCACAGCCCCACCACCATAGCCACATCACCACAGCCACACCACCACAACCACACCACCACAGCCACACCACCACAACCACACCACCACCACACCACCACCACAACCACACCACCACCACAGCCCCACCACCACAGCCACACCACCACCACAGCCCCACCACCACAGCCACACCACCACACCACCACAGCCACACCACCACAACCACACCACCACCACAGCCACACCACCACCAGGTACCACCACAACCACACCACCACCACAGCCACACCACCACAGCAACACCACCACAGCAACACCACCACAGCCACACCACCACAGCCACACAGCAACACCACCACAGCCACACCACCACAGCCACACCACCACAACCACACCACCACAGCAACACCACAACCACACCACCACCACAGCCACACCACCACCACCACAACCACACCACCACAACCACACCACAACCACACCACCACCACAGCCACACCACCACCACAGCCACACCACCACCACAGCCACACAACCACACCACCACACCACAACCACACCACCACAACCACACCACCACAACCACACCACCACCACAGCCACACCACCACAACCACACCACAGCCACACCACCACCACACCACCACAGCCACACCACCACCACCAGGTACCACCACAACCACACCACCACCACACCACCACAACCACACCACCACACCACCACAGCCACACCACTACCACCAGGTACCACCACAGCCACACCACTACCACCAGGTACCACCACAGCCACACCACAACCACACCACCACAACCACACCACCACAACCACACCACCACCACCACAACCACACCACCACAGCAACACCACCACAGCAACACCACCACAGCAACACCACCACAACCACACCACCACAACCACACCACCACAACCACACCACAACCACGCCACCACAGCCACACCACAACCACGCCACCACCACCACAGCAACATCACCACAACCACACCACAGCAACACCACCACAGCCACACCACCACCAGGTACCACCACAACCACACACCACAACCACACCACCACAACCACACCACCACAACCACACCACAGCCACACCACAACCACGCCACCACCACCACAGCCACACCACCACAGCAACACCACCACAGCCACACACCACAGCCACACCACCATAACCACACACCACAGCCACACCACCACAGCCACACACAACAGCCACACCACCACAGCCACACACCACAACCACACCACCACAGCCACACACCACAACCACACCACCACAGCCACACCACCACAGCCACACACCACAACCACACCACCACAGCCACACCACCACAGCCACACCACCACAGCCACACCACCACAGCCACACACCACAGCCACACACCACAGCCACACCACCACAGCCACACCACAGCCACACCACCACCGCCACACACCACAGCCACACCACCACAGCCACACCACCACAGCCACACCACCACCAGGTACCACCACAGCCACACCACAGCCACACCACCACAACCACACCACAGCCACACACCACAGCCACACCACCACAGCCACACCACCACCAGGTACCACCACAGCCACACCACAGCCACAACACCACAAACACACCACAGCCACACCACCACAGCCACACCACAGCCACACCACCACAGCCACACACCACAGCCACACCACCACAGCCACACCACCACTAGGTACCACCACAGCCACACCACCACAACCACACCACAGCCACACCACATCTCACCTCCATGTTGTCGAAGTCACACTTGATATTAACGGTGTTCCCAGAACGTTGAATCTTCAAGTTACACTCACAGTGCGGGTGAGCATGGTCGAGGGCGCCCGCAGGTGGACACCTGGCCACCAGGGGCTCACAGGACGCTGCCCTCAGCACAAGGGCCACCACCACCACCAGCAGGTGTCCAGCGACCCTGGCCCGCTGCTCCCTCAGTCGTCGCGTCATGGTGGACACAATTAAGACACAATGCACAGCCTCTCAGGTCGAGGGTTTGAGGGTGTCTCGAGCGTGATCCAGCGGTCTCTTGTAGGACGCCGTCTGCACCGAGGTTAGCTAATCTTCACTGGCACCCATCGCCACGTCGCTCTTTATATCTTTGGTCAAGTGTCAATATCCTCCAGCCAATGTCTTTAGCATTTTTAGGATTTCGCCTGAAACTTATTTTCGCGTTTTACTAGTTTAGACAAAATACCAAATGACCACAGACAAGAAAGTGATCAGAAACACAATACCGAAAAACATCGTAACGGTCAGGTGACTTAGGTGACGGTCAGGTGACGGTCAGGTGACGGTCAGGTGACGACGTAGTGAGGGCCTGGACAGCAGGCAAGTCGTCACATAACCTTGAGAGTGACGCCGTCACGTCACAGATCTCATCACAATATGTCAGCTTGAGGCGGTGACAGGCAGACAGGCGCCGCTGCAGGTCCTACACAGTGCCTGGTTAATGCCGTGTGTGTGTGTGTGTGCCAGAGTGCCACCCCCGGGGCGCCTCGCTAGTGCCAGTGTCCGCACATACAGTTGTCAATGCATCAATATACAGGACCGCACCAACTTGCAGTCCTGTGACCATGTGTAACCATCGTTAACTGCCCCCACACACCCATATTGCTCCTGTCTTAACCCTCACAGTTCACTACTAGAGTCTCTCAGTTGACTATATGATACTGGAGTCTCTCACTTGACTATATGATACTGGAGTCTCTCAGTTGACTATATGATACTAGTCTCTCAGTTGACTATATGATACTGGAGTCTCTCAGTTGACTATATGATACTGGAGTCTCTCAGTTGACTATGTGATACTGGAGTCTCTCAGTTGACTATGTGATACTGGAGTCTCTCAGTTGACTATATAATACTGGAGTGTCTCAGTTGACTATAGATACTGGAGTCTCTCAGTTGATTATATGATACTGGAGTCTCTCAGTTGACTATATGATACTAGTCTCTCAGTTGACTATATAATACTGGAGTCTCTCAGTTGACTATAGATACTGGAGTCTCTCAGTTGACTATATGATACTGGAGTCTCTCAGTTGACTATATGATACTAGTCTCTCAGTTGACTATATAATACTGGAGTGTCTCAGTTGACTATAGATACTGGAGTCTCTCAGTCGACTATATAATAATGGAGTCTCTCAGTTGACTATAGATACTGGAGTCTCTCAGTTGACTATATGATACTAGTCTCTCAGTTGACTATATAATACTGGAGTCTCTCAGTTGACTATAGATACTGGAGTCTCTCAGTTGACTATATGATACTAGTCTCTCAGTTGACTATATAATACTGGAGTCTCTCGGTTGACTATAGATACTGGAGTCTCTCAGTTGACTATATGATACTGGAGTCTCTCAGTTGACTATATGATACTGGAGTCTCTCAGTTGACTATAGATACTGGAGTCTCTCAGTTGACTATAGATACTGGAGTCTCTCAGTTGACTATAGATACTGGAGTCTCTCAGTTGACTATATGATACTGGAGTCTCTCAGTTGACTATAGATACTGGAGTCTCTCAGTTGACTATATAATACTGGAGTCTCTCAGTTGACTATATGATACTGGAGTCTCTCAGTTGACTATAGATACTGGAGTCTCTCAGTTGACTATATAATACTGGAGTCTCTCAGTTGACTATATGATACTAGTCTCTCAGTTGACTATAGATACTGGAGTCTCTCAGTTGACTATATAATACTGGAGTCTCTCAGTTGACTATATGATACTGGAGTCTCTCAGTTGACTATAGATACTGGAGTCTCTCAGTTGACTATAGATACTGGAGTCTCTCAGTTGACTATATAATACTGGAGTCTCTCAGTTGACTATATGATACTGGAGTCTCTCAGTTGACTATATGATACTGGAGTCTCTCAGTTGACTATAGATACTGGAGTCTCTCAGTTGACTATAGATACTGGAGTCTCTCAGTTGACTATATGATACTAGTCTCTCAGTTGATACATAGATACTGTATAGTCTCTCAGTTGACTACATAAATCCCTTCCAAACGCTATCTCATATATAATATATACACCAGGAGATTATATATAATATACACATATACTAGACCAATGGGTCAAGGCCGACAGCAGATGTAGGATCACACACAGCGCCTTGTTGACCCCGTGGTGATGTAAGATATATTGACATCGTAAGATACCCAGGTCTCCACAAGTAAATTCACTATTATAATAGATATCTTAAATAATTCAGATTTACTGGAGTATGGGAATGAACTCGGGTTAGTAGGCATCCATCAGTCTCAGGAGAGTATGGAGTTGGGCTCTAGTTGTCGGTCTGGAGTGACCTCTCCAGGGCGCAAAGCCAGGGTAGGTTGATATAAAAAAAAATTCAAAATCAAAATGTGTATTTAGGTAAGGTACATACATAAGAGATTTTACAAAGAGTGATGGATTTATAGTTAGGGCTAGTACATACAATGCCTAAAGCCACTATTACGCAAAGCGTTTCGGGCATATGGAGGAGAAGCTGTTACCCATGCAACAGGTCCCCCCCCACTCCTCCACGGCGAAAGGCCTGGGTAGGCCTTTGATGGGTATGTATGATGGTATGGATGAGGTGTATACGTGAGTGTGTGGAGGCCAGCAGGTCAGCGCTGTGGACCACGTTCCTGTTGTCCGCCTAGAGATATACGGATCCTCCCCCCTGTACTTCCTGTGTGTGTGTCTCTCTCTCTCTCTCTCTGTCCCTCTCTCTCTCTCTCTGTCTCTCTCTTTCTTTTTCTCTCTCTCCACTCTGTATATATCTGCCAAAGCCACAAGGTGACTGAAGCAAGAAATAAGTTTAACCCGTCCAGGCCGTTTTGAGTGACCTCTCAAGACGACCTGAGAAAACTTTTTGGCTTTACTCACCTTTCCTTAGTGGCTTAGTGCTTTCTCCTGATAATTACCTTATTTTGGGGTTTGACACCATTAATATCATCAGCTACATAAATCATTTCATGCATTATTTATATATAATATATATATAATATAGTATAAAAACTTTGTAACAAAAAAGGAGTTATATGGTACAAAGATGATTATCATAAGTTGTAGAGTTCCTCCAGCTCCTCAGATGGCGGGCAGAACCCTGAATGCCGTGTGCATTTCCCCTCTGTATCGCCACGCTGAGGCGCTGAAAAAGTAAGCTGACAGCTCAAGGGGTCTCTTGTTGTTTCAATGAGCCTAGAACCCAGTTCCTTCAAAAAACTGGTGGCACTCTTACCGCAGGCGCCGAGTGTCTCAGAAGCAATGGGGACAAAATTGTAGTGGTGATCCAGTTCTCTGTACTTACGGGATTTGGCTGATTCCCTGTGAGTGGCAGCGCCACCTGGTTGTGCAACTCTGAAGTTAATGTAGGTATTAGCCAGGGTTGATACACACGTGTAGTCCCATACCAACTGCTTGCCGTTCTTCCAGGGGTTCACTGTGATACCATCCGGGTGACCAATAAGAGCATCAGAGTTACGGGGCGTTAGGTAACGGGGCTCTCTCTCAGCTGGGCATCCAGCTGTGGTAAGGCTCCTCTTGATGATGTCGTTAACTTCACTGTGCCTCGAGTGCCATCCCCCTGTGCTTTGGCAGAGTAGGCCATGGTGGTCGTACGTGTCGGCCACCACCTCGCCGCAAATACACCTATATCTGGTGTGGATTGGGGCAGCAAGGCGGAGGGCCACAGCAATTCGGAGGGCGTGTGGTGTGAGACGCGTGCCAGTTGCTGACATTGGGGTTGCTAACAGGAAGTCCCCTGCATGTGGTGCTGCTACTGCTGTGAGGCGAGCAATGTCGTGTTGTGTTGTTGCAGCTTGAGGTCATGGGGACCCATAACCTCAGAGAAGAGAATAAAGAGCATTCTGAGAAAAACTTGCCGTTTGACTGTAAGTACGTAGAGTATGTGTCTCCTCCTAGTCTCCCCCGTTTGTATTATTGCCTTGTTAACGGTACTTATTATAGATGTTACTGTTAGCAGTCATAATGTTGAGAGCCATCCAGTCTAAACTGTCATTAACTGGGAACACCAGGGGTCACTAACGACTGGGAACACCAGGGGTCACTAATGACTGGGAACACCAGGGGTCACTAACGACTGGGAACACCAGGGGTCACTAACGACTGGGAACACCAGGGGTCACTAATGACTGGGAACACCAGGGGTCACTAACGACTGGGAACATCAGGGGTCACTAATGACTGGGAACACCAGGGGTCACTAATGACTGGGAACACCAGGGGTCACTAATGACTGGGAACATCAGGGGTCACTAATGACTGGGAACACCAGGGGTCACTAATGACTGGGAACACCAGGGGTCACTAATGACTGGGAACACCAGGGGTCACTAATGACTGGGAACACCAGGGGTCACTAATGACTGGGAACACCAGGGGTCACTAATGACTGGGAACACCAGGGGTCACTAATGACTGGGAACACCAGGGGTCACTAATGACTGGGAACACCAGGGGTCACTAATGACTGGGAACATCAGGGGTCACTAATGACTGGGAACACCAGGGGTCACTAATGACTGGGAACACCAGGGGTCACTAATGACTGGGAACACCAGGGGTCACTAATGACTGGGAACACCAGGGGTCACTAATGACTGGGAACACCAGGGGTCACTAATGACTGGGAACACCAGGGGTCACTAATGACTGGGAACACCAGTGGTCACTAATGACTGGGAACACCAGGGGTCACTAATGACTGGGAACACCAGGGGTCACTAATGACTGGGAACACCAGGGGTCACTAATGACTGGGAACACCAGGGGTCACTAATGACTGGGAACATCAGGGGTCACTAATGACTGGGAACACCAGGGGTCACTAATGACTGGGAACACCAGGGGTCACTAACGACTGGGAACACCAGGGGTCACTAATGACTGGGAACACCAGGGGTCACTAATGACTGGGAACACCAGGGGTCACTAATGACTGGGAACACCAGGGGTCACTAATGACTGGGAACACCAGGGGTCACTAATGACTGGGAACACCAGGGGTCACTAATGACTGGGAACATCAGGGGTCACTAATGACTGGGAACACCAGGGGTCACTAATGACTGGGAACACCAGGGGTCACTAATGACTGGGAACACCAGGGGTCACTAATGACTGGGAACATCAGGGGTCACTAACGACCCATAAAGACAATAATGTCCCTCTGCGAGAAGTATGGAAGCAGTGGCTGCAGGAGTGACAGTGAAGGCTTCCCTCAACCACTAGCGTCTCAAGACTGAGTAAGAAAAAACAGCCGTTCTTTCGTAAATATTACATTTAAAATGACTTTTTCAACAAGTAATGTTGTTAGATGATGCCCAGTTGGTTTGTTATGGTTGTGTCGTTAACGGCAGTTGATATAAACATTAGAGCTATACAGTATAGTGAGTTCCGTGGCTGCTGGTGGTGTTGTCATAGACTCAGTGTTGGAGAAGAGTGGTGTCATTACGGCAGAGATGAGGCGGCCCCGCAGGCGAGGGTGGTGCACTAGCTCCGCCACCACCACAAGGTTGGCTGAGTGCACTGGCACCAGTGGCACACAGCTTGTTAGTGAAGTTGTCTGCCTGGCCCTCACTGGCTGTCTGCCTGGCCCCTGGCCCTCACTGTCTGCCTGGCCCCTGGCCCTCACTGGCTGTCTGCCTGGCCCCTGGCCCTCGCTGCCTGCCTGGCCCCTGGCCCTCACTGGCTGTCTGCCTGGCCCCTGGCCCTCACTGGCTGTCTGCCTGGCCCCTGGCCCTCACTGGCTGTCTGCCTGGCCCCTGGCCCTCACTGGCTGTCTGCCTGGCCCCTGGCCCTCGCTGCCTGCCTGGCCCCTGGCCCTCACTGGCTGTCTGCCTGGCCCCTGGCCCTCACTGGCTGTCTGCCTGGCCCTCGCTGTCTGCCTGGCCCTCACTGGCTGTCTGCCTGGCTGCCTCCGGCGTGAGTGCTCGTAACACTGACAGGTCGTCTCTCCAAAAGCAAGATTCTTGAGAAGGTTTGGGTGAGTGAGGAGGGTGAAGCATGGCGTGCCAGCACAGCCTGAGGGAGGCCAGTCACCACCACACAACCCTCAACACCTCTCAAAGTTAACCATTCTGGTGTTGGTTGCTCAGAGCTTGAGCGCGTCTTGCACAGCCCGCACCAGTACAGTGCAGGTCCCGGGCCACGTTGTTAAGGAGTGAGAAGCAGCGTTGCAAGCATTGCAGAGGTGGCCGCCGGCCCTGGTGAGTGTGCACCAGCATGGGGCGCCAGGTGACAGGAGTGGGTCAGGCCGTGAGGGCCACACTGCACCTGCTGGTGATCCTGGTGTGGGTGCTGGCCCATGTGTCCTGTGTATCCCTGATAGCTATGTGTCCTCCAGCGGGCCCGGGGAACACCAGCCAGTACTGCAGGTGCGAGCGGGGCACCTTCCGCAGTGGCCGCAACCTCACCATCCTCTGTGACTTTAATAACAAAGAGGTAAGTAAGTAATTAAGTGAACTCGTGATGTCATCAAGGTGCCACTCTCAGTAGAGCGAGACGCGCACACCTACAATCGTACCTTGATCCTGTGTGGAGGAGGGTGAGCACTTATACCACTCCTGTGGGTGGTAGTGGACCCCATACCCATCCTGTGGGTGGCAGTGGACCCCATACCCATCCTGTGGGTGGTCGTGGACCCCATACCCATCCTGTGGGTGGTAGTGGACGCCATATCCATCCTGTGGGTGGTAGTGGACCCCATACCCATCCTGTGAGTGGTAGTGGACCCCCATACCCGTCCTGTGGGTGGTAGTGGACCCCATACCCATCCTGTGGGTGGTCGTGGACCCCATACCCATCCTGTGGGTGGTAGTGGACGCCATATCCATCCTGTGGGTGGTAGTGGACCCCATACCCATCCTGTGAGTGGTAGTGGACCCCCATACCCGTCCTGTGAGTGGTAGTGGACCCCATACCCATCCTGTGGGTGGTCGTGGACCCCATACCCATCCTGTGGGTGGTAGTGGACCCCATACCCATCCTGTGGGTGGTCGTGGACCCCATACCCATCCTGTGGGTGGTAGTGGACGCCATATCCGTCCTGTGGGTGGTAGTGGACCCCATACCCATCCTGTGAGTGGTAGTGGACCCCCATACCCGTCCTGTGAGTGGTAGTGGACCCCATACCCATCCTGTGGGTGGTAGTGGACCCCATACCCATCCTGTGAGTGGTAGTGGACCCCCATACCCATCCTGTGAGTGGTAGTGGACCCCCATACCCATCCTGTGGGTGGTAGTGGACGCCATACCCATCCTGTGAGTGGTAGTGGACCCCATACCCATCCTGTGGGTGGTAGTGGACGCCATACCCATCCTGTGGGTGGTAGTGGACGCCATACCCATCCTGTGGGTGGTAGTGGACGCCATACCCATCCTGTGGGTGGTAGTGGACGCCATACCCATCCTGTGGGTGGTAGTGGACCCCATACCCATCCTGTGAGTGGTAGTGGACCCCCATACCCATCCTGTGGGTGGTAGCAGACCTCATACCCATCCTGTGTGTGTAGTGGACCCCATACCCATCCTGTAGGTGGTAGTGGACCCCATACCCATCCTGTAGGTGGTAGTGGACCCCATACCCATCCTGTGGGTGGTAGTGGACCCCATACCCATCCTGTGGGTGGTAGCAGACCTCATACCCATCCTGTAGGTGGTAGTGGACCCCCATACCCATCCTGTGGGTGGTAGTGGACCCCATACCCATCCTGTGGGTGGTAGTGGACCCCATACCCATCCTGTGGGGTGGTAGTGGACCCCATACCCATCCTGCAGGTGGTAGTGGACCCCATACCTATCCTGTGGGTGGTAGTGGACCCCCATACCCATCCTGTGGGTGGTAGTGGACCCCATACACATCCTGTGGGTGGTAGTGGACCCCCATACCCATCCTGTGGGTGGTAGTGGACCCCATACCCATCCTGTGGGTGGTAGTGGACCCCATACCCATACTGTGGGTAGTAGTGGACCCCCATACCCATCCTGTGGGTGGTAGTAAACCCCCATACCCATCCTGTGGGTGGTAGTGGACCCCCATACCCATCCTGTGGGTGGTAGTGGACCCCCATACCCATCCTGTGGGTGGTAGTGGACCCCATACCCATCCTGTGGGTGGTAGCAGACCTCATACCCAAGGGAGCTGTAACACCCAGGACCTCCCCCCCTTAGAGTTCACACCCAGGGAAGCCTTCTCCAAGAGGTCAGCCCAGATGACCTCCGGTTTATCTTGTATGTTGATTAAAAAAATTCCTGGGTTAGTCTTAGTCAGCATAGTTTCAAGTATGTAATATTTCATGCAAGGGAATTAGACTCTAGATTCTTATGTGTAAACATCCATGGATCTTCCCCTTTTAGCCAGGTCAGAGGTCAGTCACACACGTAATTAATAACTCCTCTCTTGAAGAGTGTATGGTGAATGTCAAACAAGCTTATTGAAAATTCTTGAGTGTTTGTACACGTGTGGCCGATCTTTTACATTCTTGGGGTAGGTAGCAACAGAAAGTTTCCCCCTCCCCCCCTGTTGAGTTGTATATAGAGGTCCTGTAGAGACTTAGTTGACAGAGAGTGCTGGACACCTGGGCCCAGAGAGGGCTGTGAAGAACATCTCAGCCAGGGAGAGACAGAGGTCTTAAGGTAATGTGTGTGGTCTCTGAGGTTATGTTCCATGTCCAAATTTCTTAACTTTTTGCCAGTGTTAGAGTAGGATTTATAAGTGGTGATTGACATAATTTTGGTCTCAATAAACTCATGTTAAATTTCCCGTCTGTGTCAATTGTTGAATCCTCTTAAGCCTTTTGGATATAGTGGCTGACAACCGTTTTCATAATTAATGACAGTCATAGAAAGTACTCTCCAAGTCAAGCAATGTTTCTTGCCTCGTTGCTTGATATAGTCTCAATGGTCAAAGGCAGATGGTGGCAGCGTATTTCATCCTGTGTAGCATTTCCTTGTTGGCAGTGTACCTTTGGTTCCGGTGTAACCATCATATGTCAGCCCATAACAGTGTTACCAAGTGCAACCGATGGGAAAGTGTTACTCAGGATAAGTAGTGTTTACATAATTAGTTTAGTGTAACACCACTCTAAATGTAACACCACTATAATGGAACACCACTATAATGGATACTAAACTAATAATGTAAACACTACTTATCCTGAGTAACACTTCCCCATCGGTTGCACTTGGTAACACTGTTATGGGCTGACATATGATGGTTACACCGGAACTAAAAAGTACACTGCCAACAAGGAAATGCTACACAGGATGAAATACGCTGCCACCATCTGCCTTTGACCATTGAGACTATATCAAGCAACGAGGCAAGAAACATTGCTTGACTTGGAGAGTACTTTCTATGACTGTCATTAATTATGAAAACGGTTGTCAGCCACTATATCCAAAAGGCTTAAGAGGATTCAACAATTGACACAGACGGGAAATTTAACATGAGTTTATTGAGACCAAAATTATGTCAATCACCACTTATAAATCCTACTCTAACACTGGCAAAAAGTTAAGAAATTTGGACATGGAACATAACCTCAGAGACCACACACATTACCTTAAGACCTCTGTCTCTCCCTGGCTGAGATGTTCTTCACAGCCCTCTCTGGACCCCGGTGTCCGGCACACTCTGTCAACTAAGTCTCTACAGGACCTCTATATACAACTCAACAGGGGGGGAGGGGGAAACTTTCTGTTGCTACCTACCCCAAGAATGTAAAAGATCGGCCACACGTGTACAAACACTCAAGAATTTTCAATAAGCTTGTGTGACATTCACCATACACTCTTCAAGAGAGGAGTTATTAATTACGTGTGTGACTGACCTCTGACCTGGCCAAAAGGGGGAGATCCATGGATGTTTACACATAAGAATCTGGATTCTAATTACCTTGCATGAAATATTACATACTTGAAACTATGCTGACTAAGACTAACCCAGGATTTTTTTTAATCAACATACAAGATAAACCGGAGGTCATCTGGGCTGACCTCTTGGAGAAGGCTTCCCTGGGTGTGAACTCTAAGGGGGGGGAGGTCCTGGGTGTTAGTGGTAGCAGACCTCTTACCCATCCTGTGGGTGGTAGTGGACCCCAATACCCATCCTGTGGGTGGTAGTGGACCCCAATACCCATCCTGTGGGTGGTAGTGGACCCCAATACCCATCCTGTGGGTGGTAGTGGACCCCAATACCCATCCTGTGGGTGGTAGTGGACCCCAATACCCATCCTGTGGGTGGTAGCAGACCTCATACCCATCCTGTGGGTGGTAGTGGACCCCCATACCCATCCTGTGGGTGGTAGTGGACCCCATACCCATCCTGTGGGTGGTAGCAGACCTCATACCCATACTGTGGGTGGTAGTGGACCCCATACCCATCCTGTGGGTGGTAGCAGACTCCATACCCATCCTGTGGGTGGTAGTGGACCCCTATACCCATCCTGTGGGTGGTAGCAGACCTCATATCCATCCTGTGGGTAGTAGTGGACCCCATACCCATCCTGTGGGTGGTAGCAGACCTCATATCCATCCTGTGGGTGGTTGTGGATCCCATACCCATCCTGTAGGTGGTAGTCGATCCCATACCCATCCTGTGGGTGGTAGTGGACCCCATACCCATCCTGTGGGTGGTAGCAGACTCCATACCCATCCTGTGGGTGGTAGTGGACTGTGGGTGGTAGCCCCATACCCATCCTGTGGGTGGTAGTGGACCTGTGGGTGGTAGTGGACCCCCCATACCCATCCTGTGGGTGGTAGCAGACCTCATACCCATCCTGTGGGTGGTAGTGGACCCCATACCCATTCTGTGGGTGGTAGCAGACTCCATACCCATCCTGTGGGTGGTAGTGGACCCACCTCTTCGCTCCCTCGGTGCCTTTAGACAGTTTGTCTTGATCATGTCTTAGGTTAATGTTTTAGACAGTTGCAGGTTTTCATTGACTTGCTGTAGTATATTCGTTACAGAGAATCTTCAGTGTTCGTGTCATTCTACATAAAATTTAGGTCTAATGTAACCATTTTTTGTCACTTCCATTCATATCTGTTGGTTTTGTCGACCTGTTTATGAAATTATCCTTAGCTGCATCTTTTATTATAGGTACCCCCATGTTTCTAGTCTCATGGAGTCTACTTGTTGATGGTTTAGGGAATCAATATCCCCACAGCCTGGTCTTCAATAGGGTCTCCTGCTTGAGAGTCTGACTAATCAGGCTGTTGGAGACTGCTGCTTGCTGTCTGGGTGGGAGTCCTTTGCCTCTCAAACTACTAACCTGTGGTTAAGTAAGTAATTATCAAAGAGGGCACCAAGCCGGGAAGGCTATTTAGCTAACCTGTAGTTAAACTTCCCTACAATTGTAACCACCTCTCCTACCTGTTCTACCAATCTACCCTTCTCTTTCTTTCCTACGAGTTTACACCTTCTCATCCCAACAGGTGAGGTGGTGAAGTAGTCTAAATATGATCATCATTTATAAGTTAAATACCGAGATATTAGTGGTGAAAAGTCACATTTGTTTTCTTCTCATCCTGGTGTATTCAGTCTATAAATATAGATCATCTACAATATAGTCCAGCTATAATATTAGCAGATTACATATTGACTTGTCAACAGAGTGGAAAGTTATATTTTGTACTCACACACTATAAATAGGTTAGGTTGCATCTTTGAATGGTCATTCTTTTACAGGATGTTGTACTGTCCAGCGCTTTGTATCCCTTCCGGAGGTTGGGCCTGATGACTGCCTATGTGCGGATCATGAATGCTATCAGTGTGCTGGTGACTGAGGACTTCCTGCTGGAGTGGTTGACGGTGCCATCGGTAGGCTTGGACTTATGGGAGTGTGGGAGGGTCACCGTGGTTCCCACGCCCTGGCAGCTCAATCCCACCGTCCACGGATCCTTCAGTACCTTCGTCGGTGAGCAAACGAATGGTGCCACATCGCCTGCAACTCCTGCATGAGCTCCTGAAGAATAATGCTTATATGACCATTAGAAGCATTGTTCCTGTGTGTTTTCATGTGGTTGAAGGGGTTAGGAATTGGCTCATTGGTCCCCACAGCTCTGCATTTTGGTCAATAGTTGTAATTGTTCTGTGTCCCCTATAGTTGTATCAGACCAGTTCTTGAACCCACTCACTACCTAGCTGTAACTCCCACACCATTCTTAACTACCCTTACATTTAGACACACAGTGAGGTGTCTGGCAGAGCAGGTGTTGCTGGCCACTGGATAGTATACGTCATTGATTCTAAATTTATGGGCCTAGGGCTCAATCTCAAGACAGGACAAAAATGATTTGGCACATTTCCTTGCACCTGATACCTCGTGTCACCTAGCAGTAAATAATTAACCAGGAGCTGGGCAACTGTTGTGGGTTGCATCCTGCAGAAGGTCAACAGTGGGTCTAGCGGGTAACCTTGATAACCCCCCCGTAGTACTGGACTGGTTTCCTATTCCAACAAACTGCAATTGGAAATCTATATCCGTACCAATTCATATAAGAGTGAATATTACACCTAAGAGCTCCAGATATCCAGGTGCTCCTGTAGTAAGTCTCCTCTGCTGCAGGTGTTGGGATCGTCGGCTGCATCGTGCCGTATATCCCTACTGGGTTTCTGCGGGACAAGACGGCTGCAGGATTGAGGATCAGTAGAAGCACAGTAGGAGTCCTCAATAGAGGCTTCCTCAGCAACATCCGTGAGGTATTGATCTCTGTGTACAACGTTTCTGATGTTCACTTTTGTGAAATGTTTTGATGTATTCTCCAATGTGCAGTGTTGCTGGGGTACATAGCATATGTTGAACATTTTTCATGTATACTTCATAAATCCGATATGTATTTACCTAATTGTGCTTGCGGGGGTTGAGCTCTGGCTCTTTTTGGAATGTGAAGCATTCCTGATGTGTACCTAAGTGTGTGTAATGTTTGCAAGCTATTTTCCATATGTAAAGTATCCCTTGTACAGTATATACATATGTAGTATACTTCACAAGTATTAAATTATGTGTAACATTCATTAAGTACAATATACTGTACTGTGTGTGTTTGTCTAACATTCGTGAAGTATATTCTCGTTCTGCTGAACTTAAATCTCTACTGTCATGTCCTCTGATGAATCCAATGATATAAGATGGAGAGCCAGGGTATGGCTTGCCCCCATTAACAGTCCACCTGTGGGATCTGACATCCACCAATCACAGCCTGCCCCTGAGGCCTCCAGAAATGTGTTAGGAGACCCCCCTCCATCCTTTTCTAGCTTTTAACTTCTACACTGCACACCCATTATTGGCAAAAAACTCAAAGTGCAATTGTTAAGGACATATTAACTTTACCTGAACATTTATAAAAACAACAAAAATGTCAAAATGTTTCCAAACTAAACTATTTTCATTTCAAAACACAAAGAGTGATGAAAACATTAAAAAACATTAAAATATAGCCTAATTAAAAAAAACCAGACAGCTCTCAAAACGATATTTGTTGGGCGGCGCAGTTGAGGGGTTAAAATAAGACTACATAGGTCCTAGCAAAAGATTGTAGTATATCAAAGGTAAATTATTCTAACATGATTGTAGATGATACTTTTATACAACTCTCAGAAGAGCTGAGAAACATTCTCTCTCTCTTGTTTGGTAGATTTTGGGGTATTGGACCTGGGATCAACAGATAAGGAAACTGGTATCATGCACTAACACATTCCTGATATCAACAGATGAGGTACCTGGTACTGGAGGACTCGACAGTTGATTTTGTGGATGGGCCGGTGGCATCTGAGGGCTTTGTGACTCTTAGTAACCGAACAACCGATGGCAGAAATGGTCTCGTCTTATCCAATGTTACCATCCAGCGACTGGGAAATGGAGCCTTCAACCTAATCCATCAGGTACCCATTGTCACGTGCCCATTGTCACACCCATCAGGGGCCCATTGTCACACCCATCTGGTGCCAGTTATCACACACATCAGGTGCCAGTTATCACACCCATCAGGTGCCAGTTATCACACCCATCAGGTACCCATTGTCACACCCATCAGGTGACAGTTATCACACCCATCAGGTACCCATTGTCACACCCATCAGGTGCCCATTGTCTTGCCTATTAACGCCTGAATATCTGAAAACTGTGAATGTTGTGGCTAGTAAGGTCGGGTGCCTCGTGTAACACAGAGTGTCTTGCATGTGGACAGAACAGAGGCAACGGATTCAAGATGGAGATGCTCGGATGTTACCTGGGACAGGTGGGCACGGGGGCCTTCACAGTTACCGGCGACATAGCTGTCACCATCAAAGCCAACCGCTTCAGGAGGCTTGAGAAGGAGGCTTTCAAGGTGAGATCATGAGTTTCATCACCATTTATTTGCAAGGAAATATATTATATCTGAAAGTAAATCATTGTTTACACTGTATTGTGATTTCACAGGTTGGTTCCTTGTTGCTCCACCAGAGAGATTACTTGTCCCTCCTCTCTTCCTCTTCATTGTCTCTCTTCTCTGTATCCTTCTGCTCCATCTTGACCATCATCACCCTATTTCATTTCAGCCACTTGTCCTGGTGTCCAGCTATTTTAATTTGTATTTGTCTTGCCTCAACTTATCATTGTAGTCTATCTTGCTGCTTTGTCCTTGTTTCCAGAGTATTGCTTTAAGACCTATAAAGATTTTCTACAACAGATTTTATCAGTATTCTAGATGCCTTCAGCCTGTGGTCATAATGCAGGGCAACACTTGTGAACATTATGATTGAAAGCTTGCTAAACTTGCTGCGATGATAGTTGATCATTCCTTGGAGAGAGTGGAACCATAAGCAACATTGTCTGAGGGTGTCATTCATGCCATAAATGTGTAACATATGCAATTATTCAACAATTATGAAACATTTAAGTTACAAATTAACTGTACACATACTAATGATTGGATTAGTATTTAAGTATGTTATATCAATTTCCCACTTGATTGAATCCAAATACACCTATTCCGATGTTATGCTTTTAATATTTGAAAATTTGAAGTGCCAAATTTTAGAGCAACCTCAAGAAATATTTTCTGTGATTTAGATTGATGTTGCGAGAGAGCTCAAATTTGAAGAGAATGTAGCACTGTCTGTGGACAGACTGGCTCTGGCAGCCATCAACTGCCATAATCTCACTTCCCTGGAGAGGAACACAGTGCACCTCGACACCATGCCGGATCCACTCAAGAACTCAAGCGTCATCCCTTTCCATGTCTCTTGTGGCAATCCCCAGGTTTGTACAGCATATATTAAAATAACTCTTATTTCAGTTATCAACTATCAACTAAAGCATAACTTTTAAGTGTTAGGCTTGTTTAGCTATGTCCCTAGGGGACCTATTTTTTATCAAAAGAAGATAAAGGTGGGGAGACTTCACTAGATAATCAAAAGGTGCTAAATATCACTCGGTATCCTAATACGAGAAATAAAAACACAAGGCGATCGATATTGGAGGTGTTAGATTCACCAAGGATTCTGTCGAGGGACAAATGACCTCGAGGGACCCTCGGGGTTCTTCAAGGAAGACTCCTGAATACTGGGACATTCTAAAAGGAGGTATAGTACTCCTTGTAGAATGTCCCAATTTTCAGGAGTACTCTCAAGTCTTCATGGCTTGACACCTTTTTTCTGTCTCCTGTATGAGCAAGCTGGCACAATCTAAGATTGTACACCCTCACAAGAGGAATACAGTTATCATCTACTGTTAAGGTAAACAGTGAGAGTGTATATATCCTCACAATTATATTTCTTCACATGAAATTGTATTATCTCATCAGGTTTACAATATACTCGTGCAGGGATCAGCTGTTGAATATATTTTAAACACATTTGACGGTGTACACACGCCATCACCAGGCCTATGGGCTACCACAGGACCAAACATATAGGGCACCGGTGACAATAAATAAGAACATGGTTTGGGGGACATTACCTGTACAATATTACCAATTTCTGGCCGTACGATACACAGTACTTGGATAATGCATCATAGTGTCGAGGTTTTTATTTAACACATAAGGGGGACAGATACTTTGCCACAAGTATACTAGAAAGAACTAATAGTAAAGAAATAAAATAAATTGAGTAGTGAAGATGGACTTTATACACTGTCAGTTGCATATGTGACAACCCAAACACTTTGGGGAAACCAGTGCACCAAGTAATTGAAGGCAGAGCCCCAGAGCTGAAGATCAATACCCACAAACCCAGCAGGCAAGCGAAGTAATAACGAACCAATGCAGGATCACCATTATCAAAGTTGATATAGTTACACCAACACAATTTGCCTGCTGGAGGTGAATACAAGACAGTGCCTATGGTCAAATATAGCCAACAAATGGAGGCCTCTCTGTCCTCTTGACAAATATATACTATGTAACTTTCCTTACTTGCTATATGGAAATCATTTGTATTATTTTGCTTGACAGATATTCACGGTGATCAGCCCAGCACAGCCACGACTGGTGGAGGTGACAAGCATAGCCACCTGGGTACTACTTGCCATCCTTCTCCTCTTCGTCCTGGTTATACTAATATATGTAGTGTTTTGGTGGCGGAGTGGAAGTAACCAAAAGCGTGAGTATAGGAAGAATGATACCTTCCACTTCTTCAACGGTCTGAGGTCCTCGAAGGAAAACTTGACCATTCTTCCAGATCTCAACATGACCGAAGTCCCAGCAGGAGTATCAAACCCTCTCTATGACAAGACCGAACCTAGTTGTTCCAAGTAACTCAAGTACACATCATACCTAGGAATATAATGGATTATACAATTAAAGTGACTTTTTTGATTTCCTAACAATTATTTTCTAATTGACGATACACTTCCATCTTCGAAATTATAGTGTCCTGCAAGAAGTGTCAAACCAATTTTATTGTAGTGGACATGCGAGCCGCTCCAGGTTTATTACTTTCATATTTTATAGCAGTGTTTTCTCTTGACAAAAGCAGTTTATTCATAGTAAAATTGTCTTCATTCTCGACTTGCAATCAGGGATCCCAGGTTTGATTCCCGAGAGAAACATATGGTTTGGCAAGTTTCCTTTTATTTAATGCCTCTGTTCACTTAACAGTAAATAGGTACCTGGGAGTTAGGCAACTGGTGTGGGGTTGCATCCTGGGGAAGGTCAGCAGTTCTACCTTGGGAGGGGGGGGGGGGGTGTAGCTTCGATACAATCCTATCTTAAGTTGATTTCAGGGCTTAATGTCCCCGTGGCCCGGTCCTCGACCAGGCCTTCCACCCCTAGGAAGCAGCCCGTGACAGCTGACTAACTCCCAGATACCTATTTACTGCTAGGTAACAGGGGCATAAGGTGAAAGAAACTCTGCCCATCGTTTCTCGCCGCGCCCGGGATCCCAGGATCACGTGTCCAGCATGCTGTCCGCTAGGCCGACCAGCCCTGGCCTCCTAAAGTATACATAACACACAGGCTTCCTGTCTTCGACAACTGGAATTATATTATACATTATACCTGAAGGTTGCATGTGATTAACAACTTGAGAATGCCTCTGCTACATCTACATGCGTGAACATCTCTGTCGACTTGGAGTTATGTGTTCCCATTGTTGTGAACAGGAAGCCTGTTAGGCCTCGGACAATCCGTAGGCCAACTACACTTTATTTTCCCCAGAATGCAACCCACAACAATTACTTAGCTCCTAGACAGCTATTTACTGCTAGGTGAATAGCAGCATCAGGTGAAAGGAAACTTGTCCAAATTTCTGTCCTGCCACAGGGCTCAAACGCAGAGCATTGGAGTGGTGAACCACTGAGTAACAAGATCCTCTTAGTCTTTTGAAAAGCTGTAAGAAAAGATAATTTCAAACTACAAATGTCCACCAGAGCACTCGTACTATAAACACCAGATACAACGTCAACACCCACTTGTACAACTACTCTTATAAAGTTCTCGTTGTAGTCGTTTCAATGTTATAATCATTTTTTTTTACACAAAACACTACTAATAAATTTTATAGAGGGATGGGGGGAGGTAGAAAGATGGGGGAGAGGAAGAGAGAGATGGGGAGAGGAAGAGAGAGATGGGGGAGAGGAAGAGAGAGATGGGGGAGAGGAAGAGAGATGGGGGAGAGGAAGAGAGAGAGGGGGGGAGGTAGAGAGAGAGGGGGGAGAGGAAGAGAGAGATGGGGGGAGGTAGAGAGAGATGGGGGAGAGGAAGAAAGAGATGAGGGAGGTAGAGAGAGATGGGGGGAGGTAGAGAGAGATGGGGGAGAGGAAGAGAGATGGGGGGAGGTAGAGAGAGATGGGGGAGAGGAAGAGAGAGATGGGGGAGAGGGATGGGGGAGGTAGAGAGAGATGGGGGAGAGGAAGAGAGAGATGGGGGGAGGAGGAGAGAGAGATGGGGGGAGGTAGAGAGAGAGGGGGAGAGGGATGGGGGGAGGTAGAGAGAGATGGGGGAGAGGGATGGGGGGAGGTAGAGAGAGATGGGGGAGAGGGATGGGGAGGAGTAGAGAGAGATGGGGGAGAGGAAGAGAGAGATGGGGGGAGAGGAAGAGAGAGATGGGGGGAGGTAGAGAGAGATGGGGGAGAGGAAGAGATGGGGGGGGAAGAGAGGGATGGAGGGAAGAGAGATGGGGGGGGGGAAGAGAGGGATGGAGGGAAGAGAGAGATGGGGGGAGGTAGAGAGAGATGGGGGAGAGGAAGAGAGATGGGGGGGGGGGAAGAAAGGGATGGAGGGAAGAGAGATGGGGGGGGGAAGAGATGGGGGGGGGGGGAAGAGAGGGATGGAGGGAAGAGAGATGGGGGGGGGGGGGGGAAGAGAGGGATGGAGGGAAGAGAGATGGGGGGGAGAAGAGAGAGATGGGGGGGGGGGGAAGAGAGGGATGGAGGGAAGAGAGATTGGGGGGGGGAAGAGAGGGATGGAGGGAAGAGAGATGGGGGGGGGGGAGAGGGATGGAGGGAAGAGAGATGGGGGGGGGGGGGGAAAGAGAGGGATGGAGGGAAGAGAGATGGGGGGGAGGGATGGAGGGAAGAGAGATGGGGGGGAAGAGAGGGATGGAGGGAAGAGGAAGGGGTGTAAAAAGGATCTTCTCGAGATGATCTCGGGGGGGGGGGGGGGAGAGCTTAGCATCTTCGCAGCTGTCTAACTCCCAGGTACCTATTTACTGCTAGGTGAACAGGGCCATCAAGGTGAAACAAACTGCCCATTTGTTTCCGCCTCCACCAAGGATCGAACCTGGAACCTTAGGACTACAAATCCGAAGCGCTGTCCATTCAGCTGTCAGGCCCTTGAGGATGGGAGGAGAGGGAGTACAAGACAGACTTGGGGGAGGAGAGGGATGGGGGATGATATGAGGTGTGAGAGATGGAGAAGAGGGGAGTGCATGAGAGATGGGAGGGAGGAGGAGGAAAGGGGGTGTATGAGAAATGGGAGGAGAGGAGAACATGAACATAATGCAAGACATTCCAACATATGCACAGGTTACTTGTTTCAGTTAGGTTCTTAAATACAAATTAACAATATCCTTTTATTCGGCAGAAAATAAAATGTCTTGTTGACAGAAACCATCCTAGCAGGCTTTTAAAAAGGGGAGAACATGTAGACCCATTATCCCCCCTCAGAGTGTAGAGGGGATATACAAAAGAGGTCAAACACTAGTGGATATTACCTCAAGCCATTTTTATGACAAATCGCTATCTTGTAACATTTGATCATGAGAGAAGTTGGTACCCGATAGACCAGTGCTGAAGTATATAACAATACAATCACAATACACTTATCACAAACTAGGCATTGTCATATTCTTGTATTCATCCAACTTACTTAATCTTAACATTTGATGATACTCAACAATACATCATAATTTTAGAGGGGGCAAGTAGTAGCTAAAATGATAACATATTAACACCTTAAAGATTTAAGGAATTAAAGATTTTAATAAATTAACATTTTCAGCCAAACAAATATAGGGATACCATTCAAATTTTCTTAGATCGTCTGATTAATCCTTTCTTGCATTTACGTACATATCTGAGTAGTTCAATGGCCACAAATATTAAAATTATTAAACAAAAACATGGATGTATGTGCACTTACATATATGCATATATATACATCTACAGACACACACACACACACACACGTACTTACATGCACAGAAACACGAAACCAAGAAAACACACACACACAAAATGTAAACTTTACAAATCATCATCAGTTTTTCACGTGAGTATTATATAAAATTTAAGAATTTCAGCCCAAACTTAGGAAAATTTTTAATGAATGTAACATTAAACTTGCCGATAAACTTACGAACTCCTGTGGCCACTGACCCCTGAATATTTGAGCAGTGGTAAGGCACCTTAGGAAGCAGTCTGACCAACACACACACGCACCTGGGCCTGACTAGCAGAGCACATGGAGTACTCAAGTGCTGAAAACACATTTTGTAAATTACAAAGGACTGCATAATTGCCTCAGCTTTGCATAATATATAACACTTACCTGTGATGCATACACCATTCACAAAATCAAGCACCAAACATTTCCATTTTCTTGTAGGAACTTAGCATTTATATAACAGAAAAGCACCAATTAAAAATAACATCAATTTGTGACTAAAAATTAATTTAAAGCACCATTGAACTGCAGCCCATATACAGTATTATATTATATATAAATATATATATATATATAATCCTTTTTTTTTTATTGGTAACAAGCCAATTTAGCAGTATGAGGTCAACAACTTGTAGGCTTCAGTCAGCCATTAAATTGTTAGAGATATAAGCTCTCTTCAGTCATGATAATTTTATACAGTAAAATTAGCATTTTACATTTAAAAAAATTCAGACAATGCAGCACTCCAAACTTTAGATGCTACATTTCAAGCTTTAACCAATCTTAATTATAAAATCATTTATAATGTTAAATTCTTAATGAAAAGCAATATACTTAATGCTAAAAATAATAGACCTACTCAAAATGTGTACTCTACTGTAGTGGTGCTTTACTGTGCAACAGTAACTTACTATACTGTAGCAACAGTAACTTACTATACTGTAGCAACAGTAACTTACTATACTGTAGCAACAGTAACTTACTATACTGTAGCAACAGTAACTTACTATACTGTAGCAACAGTAGTTAGTGCATGTCTTGGCTTCATGTAAAAACTCAAGATTGGCAAGACCTGATTGCAAACAAAAAAACAATGAGAGTGATAAGCATAACACTGAAAATGAATGGTTTATGATCTCTTTGCATATATATATCTGATCTCACACATAAGATATTTGGCTACAGTTAATACTTTAACTTTGTGGCAATTGCAAAGATCTAGTACAGCTTTGTTCGTCATATTTTGGTGGCATCTTCCCTGTCCAAAGACAGAACTGTCCGAGAATATAACCATCACATAAAATACCTCAACTGAAGAATGATGATACATTCAGAGTTGACCGACCATTTATATAGCTATCAACGTGTTTCTCTCGTGCTCCGAGAGTTCAGGATGCCAGACGTCTACAATCAATATCAACCGATATGAACTTCCCTCGTGCCACACTTCGTGTTCCCAGCTATCATCAAATATGAAGACTTTTCCTTCTTGCCAAGTGACCTTTTCAGAAGCAACTCTCATTTGGAGACCATCCGGAATGACCAAACCCAAGTGAGCACGCAGTCGGCAGTTGGTGGGTCCAGTGTGAGCATACACGTGAGTATTGGGATACATAACACTGAACTTGACCTGTAAGAAAAAAGTACACTGTATTAATAAACAACAGTAGGTTCCCAGTTTTGCGTGAGAATTCACACCATTATATTATACTGGCAGTGAAAACCACACCTTTGAAAGCTTAAAAAACATATATTATCAGACTGTAGAGCATAACATTCTGAACGAGACACGAGAACCACAATTCAAGATTCAGTTTCTTTGCAAATACTTATATAGTACGAGCCCTCTTGCAGCCTTCTAGTGTGTGTGGAAGTCAAGATTAGCATTACAGGTTTGGACTTTAACCATTGCACTGCTCAGCTAGTTAGAAGTACTACTGTACACCATTGTGCATGACAACAACAACGAAGTTTAATTGTGAAAAATCACATATGGGGATTGGAGCAGTGCAAGAGGTAAAGATAGACGAGTATCATGCACTTATAATTTACATGTCGAAGCATATAGTCCTTTATATATGGTATTTTCTTTCCCTGTTAGGTAAAGGATAAACCACATACATAAATTTAAAATTTTAAGATACTAAATTATATAAAAACAATTACAACAAATTTGAAAAAGCAACTATGGAATGACTTTGGTACAACATTAGACAAGCAAACAGTCTAGAAATACACACCTGGCCTCTCCTACACCCTGCAGCTGCTGGGAAGTTTTCAATCAACGCACATGTCTTGGGCGCTTTTACACAGTTAGCCGTGATCTTGCGTCCCCGGGAGAACAACTCGTACTGCTTCCAATCGCCAACTTCTCGCAAATTCTCCGACTCGGGACGAAAGCCATCTGGTAGTGGTAATCCTAACAGTTCTACGCCCTCATCTCGTATGGTTAACCAGTTTTCCTCTAACTTCCTGAAAGTATTTGGCAAACACTCACTATTTCAGGTAAGGTAATTATCAGGAGAAAGCACTAAGCCATCATGACTATATGACACTTGGAAGGGATATGAGGTTAAGGATATAGGATAGGGAAGAAAAGAAGGAATGACGACCAACTACAGACAGTCGGGGATTGAACACCAACCTGCAAGAAGTGAGACCGTCGCTCTACTGGCTAGTCCAAGTGCTCATTAATCAAATACAACAATATTTGGATTCACTATTATTACTTGCATTATATTTGCAGTTACACATTACCATACCTACAAAGGCATGTCTTACAAACCCATTTCTTTATATCTAAATTGTGCATATATTTCTGATTCATATTTGTGTATATATACATATATACATACATACATACATACATACATACCTTGAGGTGCTTCCGGGGCTTAGCGTCCCCGTGGCCCGGTCGTCGACCAGGCCTCTTAAAGGCCAGGTATGTACCGCCTTCCGTACATACATACATACATACAGAGGGGCCTCGATATACGATGGTAATCCATTCCCAGAGACGTATCATAAGTCAAAGCAATTTTTCTCATAAAAAATGAAGGGAATTGGATTAATCCGTTCCACACCCCCAAAAATATTAACTTAAAAATACATTTTATACTGAATACATTTTTTTTCTCTAACTACAATACAGTACATATGTTTATCTTACCTTTATTGAGGACTCTTGATGGTGTATGGAAGATGGTGATGAGGGGGGGGAAGGAGAAGAGGTGTTACTGTTTGGAAGGGGAGTCCCCTTCCATTATAGCATCAGGCAGTGATAACTTCTCTGGGGTACACTCTCTCCTACGTTTTGCCTGCATACCACTAGGACCTTGTTGGGATTCACTGCTTGTTTGTCTCACTAAAAACCTTTCCATACATTTTAATTTTTGTCTGTAGTGAGGCATCACAGTGTCATTAAAAAGGTTAAGGTAACAGCCTACTGCACCGTGATTTGGGCGAGTCATTTCAGCAAAAGTTTGCAATTCTTCCCATGCCGCACACACTTTCTTAATTAATGTGGAAGGGACATTCTGTACTGTCTCCTCCTCCCCTGACAAAATTTCCTCAGCTGTCTCTTGTTGCTGCTCCTTGTGAAGTCTTCGGTGATCAGTTCTTCGCTGTGTTCCTCCACCAGCTCACAACACACAACACTCAGAACACTGTGAATGCCACTTCTTTTTCTAAATTTCCCAAACCATCCCCTGCTTGCCTTAAACTCTTTCGCATTTGCATCACTCGTTCCAGGGGTTTTCTTTAAAGGTCTTCATGAAATTTCCTAGCCTTTTCACAACTGATGGCCTCTGAAACTCTATCACCCGCTAACTCCTTGCTGTGTATCCAAATTAATAATAACTGTTCAACATCCTCAAGTGTTTGTGTTCTATGTTTTGTGATTATTGATATTCCTTTGGCCACTTTAGCACTCATAATGTCCTTTTTCTTAGCAAGTATGGTGGATATTGTTGACAGATTTATTGTACTGCCTAGCTACTGCCTAGCTAGTTCAACAACCTGCACACCATCTTCATATTTACTAATGATCTCTTGTTTCTGCTCTATGGTTATCCTTACATGAGTTTTCATATGTTGAACCTTACCACTGACTTTCTTGGGACCCATGCTGTGATATAGAATAATCAGTTTAATGTTCAAAAAGCAAAAAATCACCACAAAAACTGAATTTCTTATAGGCGCAATCGTCACTAAGCGGGCAGCTCTAGTAAACTGAGACAGGTCGGCCCACGTGACCCGGAACGACGCGCTCGGTCGACCCAAACGTGTACCTACAAATATCGTTAGTCGACGACACTATCATAAGTTGAGTCACATTTTTCGATCAAATTTACATCGTAACTCTAAATTATCCTAAGTCGAGGTGCCACTGTATATATATATATTTTTTCATTTTAAAACTCATGGGAAATCAATTTAAATTTTTTTGTAGTTTTCCTAATGATGCATACCATACATATATTTCATTATACAATACACTATACAGCAGTAGTTTATTCAATTTTATAAATATAACTGATGCCCTGTTCTTTCTAAGAAGTCCCTAGTATGTTTGTATGCATCACCTTAGTATATTGTAAAGAATTAAAGAGAATAAATGCCATTTCACTTTCTGCATTCTCAGCACTTTGCTAGTCCTCCTTTATGTAGCAGAATGTTACTTGCCCCATTCTCACTGTATCAGAAATAGTGATCTGATAGCCTGTAAATTATGCCTACAATTATAATACTTGATTATGTTTTCTTTCATTTCTATAAAATTAGTCAAGATTAATTTTTAACATACTTGCGTTACTCAGTAGCATTTTAGAGGGGGGTTTTGACCATCTCCAGTGGCTCCCTTTCATTACTGTAATTAGTGAAGTAATTACACTTGACTCAACTACACCATACCTTACCTAACCTTACCTTGAGGTTAGGTAAGAAGTAGGTCAACAAGAGGTCACCTGTACCGCACCGGGGAGGTGCGGTACTTGCCATAAAATTATATGGCAAGTCATTCTGGATTTACTAACCGGAAAAACATTTGGTAGGTGGTTTGCTGTGGGGTCCACAAGGGTTGGGAAGTGAGTCTATCCACATTATACAGTGAACGCTGGTAACGGCTCAGAAACAGTCCTTTCTCCACTGCAAGGTCATAAATCTGAAACAACAACATTTCTTAGGTGACATGTATACTATGTGTATATATACTATGTGAATATATATACTATGTGTTATGTGTACTGGATATAACAAAATACAGTAATACAAACCATAAGAGAACCAATGAAATACAAATGAGCATCACTTATTTTCATACATTTGGGTTAGTTTGAACAAATCAGTTTTCAAATCAGATTTGTTCATTTGATGCATCACGTTAGTGTGATCTCTGTGTGTATTGGGGTTAGTTTGTTTGTTTCAGCTACGTTACTGTGGCATTTTCTGCATGTGTTATAAGTTATCTTTGGTTAAATTTAGAAATTAGTGCATTATTAATTATTTAAGTACATTATACAGTATATAATAAAGAGCTATATACTAAACTATCTTAATTTAAAAATTTATGTCTTAATATACATATCTGAGAGTTGCAGATATACAAGATTCTGGGTATGTACATACACATTTATATACTTGTGCATATATATTTATATATTATAGCATATATATATATATATATATATATATATATATATATATATATATATATATATATATATATATATATATATATATATATATATATATATATATATATATTATATACTTTAGCATATATATTTATATATTTTAGCACATATATTTATATATTTGAGCAGCTATACATAAGAAGTCTATAACCTATCAAGGTGCTACTGGCCTGGAGCAATGATGTGTTTATTTATTTGATTTATTTATATACAAGAAGGTACAATGAGTGTGTGAGAGTACACAACATTGGGTGAGAGAGAGTACATAACACTGGGAGTGAGAGAGTACACAACATTGGGTGAGAGAGAGTACATAACACTGGGAGTGAGAGAGTACACAACATTGGGTGAGAGAGAGTACATAACACTGGGAGTGAGAGAGTACATAACATTGGTGTTCTTACATTCTTGTAAAGCCACTAACATGCATAGCGTTTCAGGATGGGTCACTTGGTAACGCATCATCCAGCCTCTGCCCTCAACTGCACGAAAAGCAATACATTCATGACTATCTTTTGAAGCTTGCTGCAGTTTAACATGAAAGAACAGAACAGGTTGGTGGTCTCCACACAATGTGAATGACAAATACTATGTCTTAAATGCAACATAAATTAATTAATACCAATTTAACAAATATTTGCTGATGTTTCTCAATACAACTGTTCATACACAAATGCCTCATCAGTGTATAAAATACAGCAACTTCAAATGAATTTGGACATTTAAACTACAAAACTCTTTACTGAGATATAGCTAAGCAATGTAAGGTAAATTGTCAATACTTCAACAAAGTATAAAATTCTGCAACAATACACAGAGAATGCACTTAATACTTCCACCATTCCACTACCAAGTATCTTCTCAAGGACACACAAGCACGGAGATGTTATCTCACCTCGTACGCCTCCTTGGTCTTCCCTTCACGCTGCAGGGCGTCCCCCAGGTGGAAATAAAAACGCCCGTCTGATGTCCCCTCTGCTCCACTTTCTATTCCCTTCTGCATGTAATATGCTGCCCCGGTGTTGTTGTTATCAACAGTCTTCAAGATAAACCCATAATGCACCTGTAACATGAGCGACACTTAAAACATAGCATAGCTTCACAGTATAGAAATTAAACCATTCTTTTCAGCACAAAATTTAGCTACATCACCCACACCATAAAATTCACTCTTGCCTACAATAATGAAATCATAAGAATACATGCATCAATAAAACTACAGACTAAACCAACCCCCATCGTGGTCCAGTCAGTAATGTGTGTGCTCGGGGAGTCAGGGATGCAGGTTCAATCCCATTGTATGACCAATATGTTCGCAAAGATACGTCACGTTCTTGAGATTTCATTGTACACAGATCCACACATTCTCTCTGGCACGCACAAACACTAAACGTGTGAGAAAGACCCGAGGAAACACTCATATGTTGTGCAGGTGGTCAACTAGTCTAAAGCACAGATATTAAAGCTGCCTCCACTAACAGCTTCAAGAACTAACAACACTACTCAAATGCCAAAATATTTCAAATAGATGAAAGTATACACACACAAATCACAATTGCGTGATGCATCAAATGAACAAATCCACAAGGGCCGTGGCGAGGATTCGAACCTATGTCCGAGAGTATCCCAGACGCTGCCTTAATCGACTGAGCTAGCTCAGTCGATTAAGGCAGCGTCTGGGATGCTCTCGGACGCAGGTTCGAATCCTCGTCACGGCCCTTGTGGATTTGTTCAGATCAAAGTACAGTAGTACAGTAATACAACATGTATACAGGTAGAATAATGCTATACATTAACTAATCAGTGTATTTGACAAGCAATATTTTCTGGCAAATAAGACACACTTATTTTACAGGGATTTTTTTTTGTAAATGTCTGTTTCATTATACATTTACTGAAAGTGACGGTCGAGTGGTTTTGTTGGGAACACACACATGATTATGTACATGTAAATACAAAACATACTTACATAGGTGCTAAGATGGCACGAGTACTCAGTGGGTCCTAAGATGGCATGAGGAAGAAAGAAGAGGCTAAAAATATTATACTGGACTACACAAAGGCTTTTTGATCAGACATATCCCCACGGAGCAGAGTTCTCAGTGGCATCAGGCATCAGATATTGGTAGACAGACGGGTACCGGTAAATGTACGTTATTAATACTTTTGGCTTCCACGATATTATTATTCTTATAAACATACTGTACACGTATTCTGTTCCTGTCCCTCTTATCCAAACCAAAAATATTACATAATTCACAGTGAGTTTCAAAATACATGCATACCTACATGTATACCTATTTGTAAAGAAACAAATCATTAATAGTATACATATAAAATACTCGTGAAGCATGGCACAAGGCTACCAGCAGCCTTCAGTACATCTTGTTTGCCCTAACTTTAAGCACCCTATTCAGCCAATTCCAAATTCTTTACTCGGAACGTCACTTGGATGACTTTCTGGAAATGCACCACGTTGTATCAAGCTGCACAATACTGTACATTATATCGTTAACAACTTTTTGGGGAAAATAGAATGTCTGCCATGTAATTTAAGACCTTAAAATGATTACATCTTTAAAATCTTACAGTTATCAGTCACAGAATTTGGCAGAAAATAAGGGGCAATAACTTTTTCCAAACCCTTAATTGCTTTTTTTTCCCCCTGCATTTCTATGAAAATATTAACACAGGCAAAAACATTAGGGAAGAGAGAGAGAGAGAGAGAGAGCAATACCAGCATCAAGTACCATGTAGTACCATCTCCACAAGAAGGAAGTCTCGTCCATCGCCCACTTCATCAAAATCGATAGTTTGCTTCCTGCTGTAAAGTGAGGTCCCAAATCATTAAAAAAACTAATGGAATGGCAAAAACCTGGTCAAAAGAGGGGCGTCTGAAATAAACATCATCATCTGGAAATAATTGAGGAACCAAGGAGGCATTAAGCTCAATATGAACCATTCTTTGATACATACACAACCCAAAAATCCTCTTCTAACAAATAGGAAAAAGGACAAGGATAAGAGCCCCATTCTAAATTGGCACTTAAATCCTGGGCAAGAAGAGGAGGAGAATAGAGCCTACTTGTAGAGGCCTTCATCATCCTTAAAGACTCCGTACTCAAGAATAGACTCTCTAGGAAGTGGAAAGATGATACAGTGAAGCCCTGGCATAAGAAACTCCCTACAGATTCTTAATTACAGACAATTACAAATGCCTAATTATAGACCAACTATAGATACCTAATCAGAACAATAACAGATTCCTAATTATAGACCATTTATAGATTCCACAAATACAAATTAATCCAAAGTCAGACATTATTTCCATGGACAAGTAACACTCATGAATAATATACAAATTTGCATCAATAAATCATCATCATCCAATAAAGTGCCAAATTACCAACCTGAGCAAACCCATCATCCGGCCATTGTTGCAACACTGCCTCATAGATCTCCTTGGCGGCAGATCCCTGATTCATGAGAAGAAATGTGACGCCCATCTTATTCCTCAGCTGCAAATCGTCTGGAAACCGCTGCAGAAGACGTTGCTGTACCCTTACCGCCTTGCCGAAGAAGCCTATGACGAGGTCATTCCGTCAGTGGGTTTACTTATATCAAATGTCCCTGTTCATTTGCAGTGAATAAACAGTCTCTGCAATCATGTTCTTTTATTATTTTTTTAATCACACAAATTGTGGAAGGAATCACCAGAGTACTGAATGTAAATATATTCCAGAATTCCATGAATACAGTACAATATTATACAAAATTCTTATATCAAAATACAGTGATGTATTGGGTATGTGCCACTACAATAACCCACCCCACCCCTCAAGCACTTTCAGGTGAAGGAATAAATAAAAGAATCGTGTAGAGATGCACCAATGGCTAGGGATGACGAGCATCAAGGGAAAACAACCAGTCTGCTACCGACACTAATAGTGCCAACACTTAAATGTGAAATTACTGTACCTTGCTCTATTGGCACTTTTGGAGTAAAAAAGTATTAGTTCTCTTAGAAAGGGATCACAGTACTGCTGCCCGTGGCACTGTAGGTCACAATATAACACTAGTGGGTCGTGTGGACATTCTGATTGGTTTATATAGTGGTTTGAGTCCCAAAGATGGGGACCTGGGAGGCTGTTTGGATGGACAAGTGTTGGTACAGTGGGCGTTCATATAATGGCAAACCTCGCTACTTGCTACTGCCCCCCAAAAGGAACTTTTCAAGCAATCTAGAGACCTGGGTTCATATCCCCCACCCCTATCAGGTCATAAATCTTTTGGGTAGCATTTCCCTTCACCTGATGCCTTTGTTCACCCAGGTGTAAATATGTACCTGGGAGCTAGATAGCTTTATGGGCTACATCCTGGGGATGTGTAATATATAGTAGATATGATAGAAAAAAAAAAAAGGTTGGGAATCAGTTAGACCTCCATCAGCTGGAAAAATGGGGCCTAAGAGCTAATGGTTCAATCCTGCAAGCACAAATAAGAGAATATAAATACAGTAGGTAAATACTCAAACACATGAATTTTTTTAAGTTATGTCAAACTTTATATTATTTTGAAGTGCAAAACATAAAAGATAAAGAATTTTAAATTTTAAGTTTGTGTTAGTGATCTAAAATATTTGTAAAACAAAGGGAAAACAAACCTCTGAATATCAATCGATCAATGCATCTCTCAGCAGCCATACGCAACAGCGGAAGAGGCACCCAGCTGGGCTCTTCGTCTGCTAGATCAAGCACTCCTCGATATGTCACGATGGCTTGTTCCAACTTCGAATTGGATCGTTCCACTTCTGCTAACTGGTCCAAAGACCAGGCACGGCCATACATAGCCCTTGCCGATTTGGGGTTCCGTTGAAGGATAGCTCCAAAGCTATTTAGAGCTTCCCCTGGGTTCTATTCAGGTAGAGCAAACAGGCAGGGTAGTCAGGCTGGGCATGGAGGTAGGATGTGGTAAAGGTAGAAGGTGGAAGTGAAAGAGATACGTCAAGAACAACAAAGGGTTTATGGGTGGTCAGTAAGAAAAGGTTAGTTATGAAAAGAGATTAGAAAATTTAAGCAACATGAGAAGTATCAAAGCATAGAAAAGGATTTATACAAAATTTAAAGCTAAATATATAAGGAGGGTATTAAGGCTGGAGCAGCAGTGGCAGATGATCAAAACAAAGCAAATGAGGTTCAAAACATAATGAACACCGAACACTGATCAAATTAAAAAAAAAATCATAATATTAAAGACAAAACTATGATTCCAAGAAAAAAAATAAGACAAAACTAAGGACAAAAAGTAGAACAAAATAAAATAAATGGCAAACATTATGAGTGAACGTAAAGCTTCTAATGTTCTCACCAGGTCAACATGAAGTGCAAAGCTTAGACTGCAGCTTTAACATTTACATGACGTGATGAGCACAACAAAACACCTCTCTCACTAACACACACCTTATGAAAATTAAATCCTAGACAGAGTTCAAAATGATATATACTGGAATAAAGTCATCCTATCACTGTAGTAATTACACACAATATTGATGAAATCCCAAAGATTAATCTAGAATTTTTAACAGAACCCACAGCTTTTGCCTTCACAATAAGCATTAAATCAAAATCAAAATAAATAACATTAAATGGTTGAAAGGCACAATTCGAAGACTGGCTCAACCATTCATTATCTAAGGTTTGATTCTCTTCAGCAAACATGGATGTGTACACCCCGTACTCTCAATCATGCTTCCTTTTCACCACAAAATATAAAAGTCTTCAGCAACTGACGTTATTATACAACCCACAAATGACGCGAACATCAGGAAATGTTACTTCCAACAACGTATCTACAACAATTTGTAAGTTTTCCCAAAGCTCCAAAAAAGTGCCCCAAAACAATTTGCATGCAACAGAGGACAAAGCCAAAAGGAGACGAGAGAAGTTTTTAATAGACTGAGGTGTCGCATACACTCCGCTTGAGCTTCGTCACAGCACCACTATACCTATATGTCCCTGCACTACTCACTAAAATCTACCACTAAACGTTAGCCATTTCTCCCTGCTGAGGAAAACTGTTTAGTGCCAAAACTAACAATTATTTGTTTTTTAATAATTTAGATTAAATGGAGGAACTTACATGTATTAAAGAAATTTGTTACTATTTAATCAATTAGAAGTTATCTTGGAAGAGCAGATGGTTTGTGAGTTAGTACAGTACTAAATATTTCTTCCATTATTATGGCATCACAATTTGTAATTCATTCTTCAAACAACTTTAATATGAACAACTAACATGTATCTGTTTCATGTAAATATACAGTACAAGACTTTTAACATTATTCCATTTGAAAATAATTTATTGTGAGGCACAAAATTTGTATATATATAAAATCATGAGTTTGGTATCAACCCAACTTTGCACAAAGGTTCAGAGTGTAGATGTGAGTTAACTAATCTCTGCTAGCTAATTACCTTTACTCTAAGCTTATACTAAAACACAAACATCAACCCAACTTTGCACAAAGGTTCAGAGTGTAGATGTGAGTTAACTAATCTCTGCTAGCTAATTACCTTTACTCTAAGCTTATACTAAAACACAAACAAAAAAAAAAATAAAAATAAAGAGGAAATTTCCTTATAAAAAAAACTTGCCATAGATGTGCAAAATTTTATCCCTTGTAGGAAAACAGATTAGGATATCTACACGAAGGAGATTCGTGGAAGGTGTAAAAAGGGAAAGGGATAGTGAAGGAAGGAGGTGGAGATTAGGGACCCTAGAAAGATAAAAAAGTTCCATTTTAGAAATCCAAGTACAGGTGTGTGTACCAACACGTACATCACTAGATGCTGGTACAAGTGTGCGTACCAACATGTACATCACTACGTGCCGGTACAAGTGTGCGTACCAACATGTACATCACTACGTGCCGGTACAAGTGTGCGTACCAACATGTACATCACTACGTGCCGGTACAAGTGTGCGTACCAACAAGTACATCACTATGTGCTGGTACAAGTGTGCGTACCAACATGTACATCACTACGTGCTGGTACAAGTGTGCGTACCAACAAGTACATCACTATGTGCTGGTACAAGTGTGCGTACCAACATGTACATCACTACGTGCCGGTACAAGTGTGCGTACCAACAAGTACATCACTATGTGCCGGTACAAGTGTGCGTACCAACATGTACATCACTACGTGCCGGTACAAGTGTGCGTACCAACAAGTACATCACTATGTGCTGGTACGAGTGTGCGTACCAACATGTACATCACTACGTGCCGGTACAAGTGTGCGTACCAACACGTACATCACTACGTGCCGGTACAAGTGTGCGTACCAACACGTACATCACTACTCGAGACCTTCTCTGGCCTTGCTAATATAATAAACATTACATTAAGATGTTATTAGCCAAACTGATTCAAATAATTACGATATTCTTTAAGTGGAAAATTGTTGTTTATGTGTACAGAACAATGGTGGATTAGCTCTACCAACGAAGAGTTATAAACACAGTATTAGTCAGCTCTTGACTAATGAGGATAATGCTATATTAAGAAATTAACTCATAGTATTTTAGATGGATTCATATAAATTTCATTCAAATATTGTATGCCAGATGCAAGAAACCATTGGTACATTTCTTTATTCGGTCAAGAAGTAATAACTTATTACAACCTAGGAACTTGACGTCAATACACTAAAACAAATCATCATTTAAGAATCTTATATTAATGTATTGTACCTTCATCACATTTTAAACCAACATTAAAAAAAATAATCATCAACCTCTAAATTTTCTTATACAGTACTCAAACTCAAGTTCAAACTCTTACTTTGTTTATGAACATCTTATTCAAATATTTATGTATATCAATGAGCATTTAAGGTCTCGTGGTAATTCCAAGTAAAGGTGCAAATGCTGTACAGTACTATACTGTCAACTTGTCTTCAAACAAAAATTGACATTTCATATATAAAGCTTGTCATGAAACCATTACAGTTACTACTGTACATGTACAAAACCATAACCAAATGGGTCCACATTTATGGCTTCTGCATCTTTTCTGGGAGAAAATGGTAACCCATTACAGTAATTTAATAGACAAAAGTCTATAGAAAGAGTAATTATACATGTACTATGTTGAAAATTGGATCCGACTGGTTATATCAAATTCACTGAATATAATTGACCTGTCTACGTGTGTCCTTAGACCTTTCAATGTCCACCCAAATTTACATTAACTTTGTATGTTCAGGAAAATTGTATTACTTTTCGAGGTATATCACATTGTTGCAACATAAGACAACGTACTGCTCTTCGCAAGGAAAAAGCTGGATAGTCAGGTTACGTTTACACCAACTTCCTGGTGCAGCGAGGATCTTTTCCAGCATCCTGATTGGGTACCAGCGAAGGAAGGGAAACATTGAAGAAAACCTATCAAGCTTTGAATGACCTTCAGAAGGTTCAACTGAACTTAAAATCTCTTCCAAATGCTACTCAGCCTCAAAGAGCTGGTCAACCATCACTCTGGCAACTGCTAGTTGGCCTACCTGGCACTGTCAACCTTCAGAAGGTTCAACTGAACTTAAAATCTCTTCCAAATGCTACTCAGCCTCAAAGAGCTGGTCAACCATCACTTTGGCAACTGCTAGTTGGCCTACCTGGCACTGTCAACCTTCAGAAGGTTCAACTGAACTTAAAATCTCTTCCAAATGCTACTAAGCCTCAAAGAGCTGGTCAACCATCACTCTGGCAACTCCCAGTTGGCCTACCTGGCACTGTCAACCTTCAGAAGGTTCAACTGAACTTAAAATCTCTTCCAAATGCTACTCAGCCTCAAAGAGCTGGTCAACCATCACTCTGGCAACTCCCAGTTGGCCTACCTGGCACTGGCAGTTCACAAAGTGTCACCACCTACATTAATCCTGGCACTTCTAGCCTCAATATGTAGAGACCTCATTATTCAGTTAAGTGACTGAGTTATCCTGGGAAACTATAGTTTGATGTGCAGTGGCCTTATACTAGCAACAACTCTGGAAAATTGCCCAATTCGAGTGATTTATTAAACATTATTGATCAGGGTTGATTAAACTCTTCTGTGCTTTCTCCCGAGACTCAGATAAATACTTTGTTGGAGCCTGGGTACTTGTTCTTTAGTTTTCTACTTGTTTAACATATATGCAAGAAATTACCAAAAGAATGCAACAAGCCGAGAAGACTACATAACCTCGTATGTCACTGGATATTCAAAAGGTGCTAAATATCACCCAGGATGCCAATACAAGAACAAAAGGACATAAGGCAAGTGAAATCAAAGGTATCAGATTCACCAAAGATTCTACCGAGGGACATTAGAAATCCAGACATACAATCTCAAAAATCAGGACATTCTACAAGGAGGTGCATAACTAAGTGGGACAATGCAGTTCGGACAAACTTCTTTACCAAATTCGTTCATAGTAAGTATTAGTTTACTTAGTTTAACTTCTTGCCTTCACTCCCTCAAAAAAAAAAATTAAATATCAGGCAAGATGTAAGGAAAGTAATTACGAGAAGGCAGTGCACCGATACAATATGGCTATATAATACCATTCAGATCACACTAATAGTAAAGTTCTTGTATATTACTCAAGATGACAATACAAGAGCAGAAAGACAAAATATTAGATGTGATTAATGAAGGAGTGTTTGTAGCAGTTGACGTAAAGAGATCAATGTTTTTTTTACGGTTATCTTGGCATCTGGGCACTGATGCGAGTGGAACAAGACATTTTGAGCAATATCACCATTCCTTTCAGCAAATGATGACATGAAGAAAATCTACATAAAATGGCATGTTTGACAGTTCATTACAGTATGCTTTTAAAAATTTGTACCTCCATAAAACTGATTCCTCTGAAATATGGATCACATCTGCTCACCAGATCCCTGCTTTCTCTCGCACACTCACTCGCCATATCTGCGTATCATCTTCTGACCTACCACTCCTCCTGTCCACAGAGTCATTTAAACGGTAATTATCTTTGAAAGTCTACTTCCATCCATTAATTCGTCCTGGGACCATTCACGCTTGTTCGCATTTGTGTTCCTCACGTGTGGCCCAAGGAATGAGGTGATTTGATAAAATGCTTGTTCAACAAGCCCAAACCCATCTTATTATGATTTTGCACTACATATCTCCAATGACTTTCATTCCTCGTTCTATTTTCCAAGCACCACACATTTCATCAACATTGCTCTATTGAATAAGTTTTTGTGTTCATTCCATGCCATCTTACATCCTGGTTGCATGTCTTCCCTTGTTTTTTCTACCAGGGCTTTCATTACACCAATCACTTAACTATCCTGACTGACCCTGCTCTTAACTTCCACTGCACAAATATTTCCTATTAACTACACATCCCAGATATTTGAACTGGTCAACCACTTCACCATCCACACGAACTTCACATATAGTACTTCCTACTCTTCACCACTATAACTAATCACTGTCCACATCCCTTTTTAACTCTTACAGCGTGGCTATCATCGTACATTGACCCCCGGAATTATAGGTTCATTTTAGTTATCACCTGGTTTTTATACAAATTATATAAATATGGGTATAATACATCTCTATGGATGTAATTTAGTTAATCTAGATCCATGACAAAAATGAACTAGATTACGTAAATGTTATCACTCATCAAATAACTAATGTATCTGCAGGCATCACATGTGACATATTCCAATTAGTGTACTGTACTCAAATTAGGCCTATAGTAGAGTAGGTCTACATCTTTCTCTAATATTCTTACATTGACTTCCCTTCTGAGACCATGCTATATACATTGACCCACCCAACCCTAACACACGCCTACATGATATCAAACTAGTGCCCATTACACTCGCACTAGCTTTCTACATGAAAATTCTTCACAACATCGAGCAGAACTCTGCCAATGCCAAGAATGCCCATCACTCTCCAGAATAACTCTCTATTTAGCAGACAGTTCAGTCACAATGTGGCTGAAAATTGGACACGCAACCCACACATCTGTAAACAAAAGGACGTGAGAACATTTCAGCCAATCTTGTAACTGGATTATAATAGTTCAGGACAACCCAAAACGTCGTCACTTTTTTTTCCTTTCAGACGTGTGGTTGGGTGTCTAATCCTCTATCATATGCTTTTCCAAATCCATAAAAGTCCTGTACACCTTTAGAATCTCAATGGGTTCTCTCATAATTTCAACAGGAGCCAATGTCAGACATGCAATTTTTAATCATGTGGCCTTTATTCTTTATGTACAAATGTTACAAAAAAAAATCCCTTAGAAACTTCATTTTTTAACAACTTTACCACATACAATGAATAAATTATAAATGCAGTGTTCCTTCAAATTGCTACACTGTTAAGTTCTTTTTAATAAATATTTCTACGACTTTTTCTCTATGAAAATTAATTTAAAAGTGTCGTGCACAAGTACTGCACGAGATGCTCTGTAATCTGCTGCCATCTTTAAATTACTGCCACCTTGCAAAATAATTTATTATTATTTTTCAACTTACTGTACAGGAAATGATTGCTATAGCTTTGAAGATATTAGATGTGAAATTATATATATCCAAGAAAAATTTGACAAAAAAATAAAAAAAAATGTTCACGAGTGTCCTTAACACTTCCTCTCGGTAACGACTCGGCGTTGTGTCGTTCGTTTAATAGAGAGAAGTCCGGTAACGCCGCAGCATTGCATTGTCTGTTAAAATCTGTGCCCAGCATTCGCACTTGGCTGTGGGAGGGGCGCGCCACGGTTTTGGACCGTATATGCCTTATATATAAAGTTGAAAAGGGTATACACATTTTATTGTGCTTGATACACACTCACGGGAGTAACGTGATGTTACTTTCTTTGTTTGCTGTGGGTGGTACGCCGACCTTTTGAAGTTTATATGCATTTACACCTGTTGAGAATTCAATTGTGAATACATTGATACCAAAATGAAAGACCTATGACGAGAATTGAGGTAACCAAAGTGAAAAGAGAGTACACATTTCATTGCTCTTGTGCGCTCCCAGGTAATTCGCTCTCACTTTCTCTTTTTGCTGAGAGTGGTAAGCCGGGCTTTTGAAGTTTATATGCATTTAGTCCTGTAGAGAATTCTATTGCGAGCACACTGATATCAAATTGAAAAACCTACGACAAGAATTGAGATGACAAAATTGAAAAGAACATAAACTTTTCATTATTACCGCGCTCTCTAATGGAAGGTCTGGTGCCACTTGGGGTGGCGGGGCGCTCTCTTCCGGGTAACCTCGGCCTGCTTTCATCACGTCAGCGGGTGGAGCGTGCTGCAGTTTTTTACATTATATGCATATACTCCTGTTGGGAATTCTATTGCGAACACATTGATACCAAAATGAAAGACCTAGGACAAGAAATGAGGTGACCAAAGTGAAAAGAGTGTACACATATTATCGCTCTTGCGCGCTCCCGGGTAACACGCAAAAGTGTTTGTGTAACAAGCAAAAGTAACAAGCAAAAGTGTTTACACTCCTGGGTAAAACACTCTCTGTTTGTTGTGGATGGTATGTCGGGTTTTGGGACTTTATATGCCTTTAGTCCTGTAGAGAATTCTATTGCGAACACAATGATACCAAATTGAAAAACCTTGGACTAGAATTGAGGTAACAAAGTTGAAAAGAGTATACACTTTTCAGAATTACCACGCGGTCCCGCGGAACGCCCAAACCCACCTGGGATAGTGCAGCGCTCGTGCGCCCAGAGCATCAAAGTGTTAAGTCTTCAGTACTCCTAAATGCTCACAGCAATAAAAAAAAGCTATAAATTATATTTATTTTCTTTCATACATAATAAATGTCCATAAATTTAACCACTCGAAGATGTTTACATGCCATGATAAACACGACTCAAATAAAATCTCATTTCTAGCAATTACACAATTTAACGAGGAACTGATAATATTACTGTACCGTCCAAGGTACAGCCGATTACAGAAAATATCTAAAATCTTGCATTTAAGTAACACCTCAACTTACCTTTGGTATCAATTTTTCTGCCGCATCAAGTTCTTCACGAAGATTATCATCTATCTCGCTGGTAATGTCCGCTCTCTCATATACAGGTTGACGAGCATCTTCTATGGTCTCTTTCAAAGGTTGACTAGAGTCCTGCAAGGGTTTAATGTAAATGGGATCAGGAATTATTTCATCAACAGGTACGGGATCCTTCCCTTCTGCAGGAGAGGGAAAGACAGCATCTTCTTCAGATGGAGGGAATACATATGTACGATCTTCGTGCAGTGCACCATCAGGAATTATTTGAGATTCAATATCGGCAAGCACATCTTCAGGAACATCTTCAGATTCTACCAGACTTGATTCCTGCAGAGGTTTAATGTAAATGGGATCAGGAATTACTTCATCAACAGGTATGGAATCTTTCCCTTCTGAAGGAGAGGGAAAAACAGAATCATCTTCAGATGGGGGGAAAACATAAGTATGCTCTTCATGCAGTGCACCATCAGGAATTATTTGAGATTCAATATCGGCAAGCACATCTTCAGGAACATCTTCAGATTCTACCAGACTTGATTCCTGTAGAGGTTTAATGTAAATGGGATCAGGAATTATTTCATCAACAGGTACGGGATCCTTCCCTTCTGCAGGAGAGGGAATATCAGCATCTTCTTCAGATGGAGGGAATACATATGTATGATCTTCGTGCAGTGCACCATCAGGAATTATTTGAGATTCAATATCTGCAAGCACATCATCTACTAAAACCTCAGATCCAGCACGATCCTCTGGGAATACCTCGGATCCAGCACGGTCCTCTGAGAACACCTCAGATCCAGCACGATCCTCTGGGAACACCTCGGATCCAGCACGATCCTCTGGGAACACCTCGGATCCAGCACGATCCTCTGGGAACACCTCGGATCCAGCACGATCCTCTGGGAACACCTCGGATCCAGCACGATCCTCTGGGAACACCTCGGATCCAGCACGATCCTCTGGGAACACCTCGGATCCAGCACGATCCTCTGGGAACACCTCGGATCCAGCACGATCCTCTGGGAACACCTCGGATCCAGCACGATCCTCTGGGAACACCTCGGATCCAGCACGATCCTCTGGGAACACCTCGGATCCAGCACGATCCTCTGGGAACACCTCGGATCCAGCACGATCCTCTGGGAACACCTCGGATCCAGCACGATCCTCTGGGAACACCTCGGATCCAGCACGATCCTCTGGGAACACCTCGGATCCAGCACGATCCTCTGGGAACACCTCGGATCCAGCACGATCCTCTGGGAACACCTCGGATCCAGCACGATCCTCTGGGAACACCTCGGATCCAGCACGATCCTCTGGGAACACCTCGGATCCAGCACGATCCTCTGGGAACACCTCGGATCCAGCACGATCCTCTGGGAACACCTCGGATCCAGCACGATCCTCTGGGAACACCTCGGATCCAGCACGATCCTCTGGGAACACCTCGGATCCAGCACGATCCTCTGGGAACACTTCAGACCCTGAAAGCCCCTCCTCCGAGAAAACCTCCGAGTCTGCAGGATTTACTGGAGAGCCAAGATTTTGTGAAACTACCCTTTCCTCCAAGTGTTCCACCACTGGCTCAGACTCAATAGCCTCGTAGTTTGGACTACTTTCAACTGCAGACTCTAGCTCACCAACTGCTTGTGGCTCAGGTTCCAGCAGTTTATCAGCTGAAGACCCAGCCACAGGCACGTCAGAGGCCAGAGAATGGGCACTATCCCCTACATCGCTATCGGCTAATGAAACCCCAGGCTCCAGTTCCGCTTCGGGCGCAGATGTCTCTCTCTCTTCCAGCTGCTCCATTCCAGGGTAGGAGATATGCTGGACAGAAAGGTAAATGGCAATTACTACTGGATGGCAAACAATAACAAGACCACTAACTTGTAAAATTGAGTTTGCAAGCAATGAGTAATTCATTTGGCTCAATTTAATATTTAAAATCATGCAAACTTGTACAAAATATGCAAAATTTTACTTAAAGCAATTAAAAAATTATGAAACAAAATTAAATTCGAGTAGAATGTTAAATAAACATGAATGTTAAAACAAAAATAATGCAAAATTTATTTATATACTAAAAGTCCTAATCCAATATATTACTCAAGCACAACATGCCACTACAAGGAAGCTAATAATTAGCCAAGCAAATACAAACAAGCAAGTAAATAACCTAATCAAGGATAAGGAGCCAAACTACATACACTATAAGCAAGTGCCCAGAGCATAGGTTCGAATCCTTCTCACGGCTCCTACTGATTTTCTCTAACCTACAATACAAGCCCCAAAAGCAGCAGCAGCATATCTGGTTTCCCATCAGTTAGTGGCAGATCTGAATAATTATAATTTGTTTTGGCAGGGGACAGGAAGCCTGTGTATGTATATATACACTTTAGGCCTGCATCAAGGTCCCTTCCCCAACGTCGAACTACTGACCTTCCCCAGGATGGAGCCCCGCAACAGTTGCCTAACTCCCAGGTATCTATTTACTGCTAGGTGAACAGAAGTATTACGTGAAAGGCAATGTGCCCAAAAATTTCTGTCTCACCCGGGATTCAAACCAAGGATTCTCAATTTTGAGTCGAGAACAAACCGACTTTAATTCCCGTGACCCTACGAACCCAATATGAAACAGCCGAGTAAAGTTGCCGGTCTCCAGATACAGGCTCTATAAACATTTATAGTGGGTATACAAGTGTATAGAACCAGACCACAATAAGGTCAGGAACTCTTTAAATATACTAAATATACTTTAAATATAAATATACTTTAAATATACTCTAATAACATACTGAAAGAAACGTATTCAACAGAAACCTGTTACAATAAATATTCTGGCATGATTTGTTTTCAAAGATTCAGTGCAGGGTTAATCTTTATTACAAATGGTTATATTTGATACACTTTGTCTTTTGCTTTCAGGCAAATGCTAGGCTATTAACTCTTAAAATGCACATGCCGTCTTAAGATATTCGGCCCACGATGTGCACAATATCCCAAGATGTTTTAGTTACTTTACATTAGAGACGCTCACCGATACAGGCAGCAGATTACTGTTGATCAGGTACCCTTTGTAGGTCACTATCAAGTTCTCTAGGGTGGTGAAAAGTCTTGAAACATTTACATGCATAGAATATATCAAGACAATCTACTGTACTTGATAATGGTCCACGACGGACCAAAACGTCGCCATCTCCATCTTCTGGTATGTGGTTTGGTCGTCATCTTCAACGTTATTGTGACTCATCGTCTCCATATATTCATAGAATGTTCTCCAAGTGTTTTTATTGCACCTTACTTTTAAATAGGGTTATTTTGCACAATCAATTATGCTTCCTAATTTTGCCAGGAATTATTTCAGTGTATCATTTTAGACCAGTCCTATATTTTCTCTAATATTTTTCAAATGCAGACTGTTAGCCTTACATTTATATTTAATTCTGCATGATTTTGTTTTGCTTTAATGCAGTAGTAGTTAAATGATCGGTTTATTGCCATGTCTATACTTTACTGCACTCTTCCGCATTAAATACTTACAATCCTTTCCTACTGATCCATAACTAGGCTCAAGGAATTCTGATGCCAAACCTGACACCAACAAAATCCATCCTCCAGGTTGAGTTTGCAGGGAAGACCCATCTACAATCAAACAGTATAGATCATTTTACCTAATGCATGATTCTCTTCATGTTGAATCGTGCATAAAGAAGTGTAAGACTAAGTGTCGAAGACCGTCCGCTATAACCTTGATAAACATCTTGCAGAGTAGTCAGATGTTATGTGGGGAAACAATAACACGCTGGGATGCAGTCAGGAAAAAGATAAAATTGGGCCTCATATTCAGGATTAATGAACTTATGCCACAGTATTTTGAAGTCACACTTCTCACCTTCCATGGTGTTTACTAACAAGCATATGGGTCACATGCAACACGCGCGCGCACACACACCAACCAACTCAGCCCTCATTTCTCAGTGCATGTGCACAACTCCCTTTATATTCTACTTTATGCCGGCCATTTTGCATGCATTACGTACAGTTGTCTGCATCCTGGCAATCTGGAAACTTTCCAAAATCTCTAATTCCACACACACAACCTAAGAACCAATCTGTTGATGTAAATGTGGAAAGCATATTCCAGAATGTTTGAGGTGGCTGTTTCTGACTTCCATTAAACAGGTGACACCATTATTAATTAATGAAGCATGTAAGATGGGTTTAAAATAGTGCTGTGACACCTATGAAAGGTGTAGTCATATTTAGAATGAAAGCCAAGCCACGATAACCTGGATTGGATAACCAGCGATTAATCTGAAAAGCAATGGTTGAATTGAGGAACCAATACCTAGATTGAATAAAGCAGTGATTGGACTGAAAGACCAATGATAGCAGCAAGTTTTCCTTGCAGGGCTGATAATCAAAGATTTGGACAATTATTAAGAACTATAAGGCACAGGCACCATGTTAGAATACTCCACCTCCGACGGTTAACTAGATATAAGCAGTTAAAAGATCGGAACATGTTTTAGGTCCAACGGTTGGCCCTCCACCGTAGTTGCCAGCTACACAACTTCTGAAACTAATGCTTTTTAGATGTTATGAATTTTCTTCCTAATTTGTTAGTTTTGGGGAAAACAAAAAAGAGAGTGGGGTGTCATGCAGAATTTCAAGGCTTCAAGAACCAATAAATATTTTCAAGAATTAAAAGGCATTGTGTCTTAAATAAACACAGTTTTATGAAAATAAAGCAGAGAACTATGCTTTTATGTAACATTTAAATATTCATTTAGGGTTAAGGGGTAAATTTTATACATTAAGGCTAAAATGAAAAGAAAAGGACATACCATTATTGCATAAATACTCTTACCACAAAAAAGTAATGACAACTTGAATGAAAAAATAATGTTAGATCCTAAGATACTAATGTTAGTTAACTAGATAACATTAAAAATGTATCCCATTTATAGCATGCTGTTCCTTTCCCAGGTAAACTATGCATCTTTATGAAGTCGAGTATGTCTATAGCATTCCTTTGGGCACGTAATGGTAAAGATTCAGAATACAGTACTGTATAAAGCATACACTAAGTTCTTAAATACAGTACTGCCAGAGATCAAAGGAACTAGTAATAGCATATCAATCAAACTAGAGGTAACATTTGCAATTCAGTAATTAAGCTTTTAATTGTGGAATCAGGTATGATAATTTCAAACGACTCACCTCGCCATTTTCAAAACGAGTCTTGATATCCTCCAAGATAACTTGAATGTGTTTAAGTGTATCGAGTAATCCATCTGTCTGACCAGCTTCCATGGCTCGGAGAACTCCAGAGAGGTGCGGAGCCAACTGTGCCACCATAGCATTATTGGGATCCTTCTCCAGCACGTCTTCTGCCAACGATTCCACTTGTAGATATGCATCGGTTAAAAGTTTGAGTCCACCCTCCTTCCCATACTGTGACCAGTCTTCTTCCTCTTCAACCTCATTTTGATCTAACATTTTACTCTTAACCTTTTCTACATCATCTTCATCCTCATCATCATCCTCATCATCATCGTCGTCGTCGGTGCCTTCATCGTCGTCGGTGGCGTCATCGTCGACACTCCTTTTTGTTCTATGTCCTTCAGCTTCTTCCTTACTATCATCTTCATGCTTAATTTCTATAGGAATTTCATCAGTGGCAGCATCAGATTCTTGTAAACCAGCAGGAACACCTAATGTGTCAACTTTTTTAGAAGTAGATGGTTCCTCCTCTACTTCAACTGGTTCAGTATCTTTTAAAGTTTCCACTGCTGGTGCAGCTGTGTCTGCCACTTCAACATGCACATCAAACTCCTTGGATTCCTCTTCAGTTACAATGTCTTCCACTTCATTATCTTCAGGCACAGCTAACTCTTCAGCATCCTTGACTAGGGCAGGTTCCTCAGTGGGTTTCTCTTCCTCTTCTACTGGTGGAGATTCTTCAACACGTGTAACCTCTTCCATTTTCTCGGTCGGCAAATCTCCTTCAATGGGTTCAACTTTTTCAATTTCCTCTACTTGTGCATCTACTCCAGTATGTACATCTTCAACTTCTTCCATTAGTGTACCTTCTATCTCATCATCTTTCACAGGTTCTACTATACTAACAGTTTCTGCAACCTCTACAAATGGGGGAATCTCCTCTATTTCAAGTTTAAAAGACTCTTCTTTAGGTGCCTCAAATTCTTCCAAGATATTGACAGTTTTAACAGTTTCTTCAGCAGGTATTGATTCTCTGGTCTCCTCAACATGAGTATCCTCAACTTCAAGTTTATCATCAATGCTCGGCACTTCTGGTATAACTTCCCTCAAAACTGGTGTCTCTTCTTGGGGTGGAACCTCAACAATGACTTCCTTTACATGGAGATATTCCTCAAGAGGAGGAGTCGCTTCTACAGGCTCATACTCTTCTTCTATATCATGTTGTAAGACTGGTATAGGGGAGGGAGCCTCGGGGATTCTGTCATCGTCCACATGTATATTCTGTAAATACAGTGTTTTACAGTTAAAGATGTGAAATTTCCCTTCTCTATGTTATCTACTCTCTCCTTTTCCCCATGTGCCATCTACACTCTACTGCCCCTTGTGCTATCTACACTCTACTGCCCCTTGTGCTATCTACACTCTACTGCCCCTTGTGCTATCTACACTCTACTGCCCCTTGTGCTATCTACACTCTACTGCCCCTTGTGCTATCTACACTCTACTGCCCCTTGTGTTATCTACACTCTACTGCCCCTTGTGCTATCTACACTCACTATCTACACTCTACTGCCCCTTGTGCTATCTACACTCTACTGCCCCTTGTGCTATCTACACTCTACTGCCACTTGTGCTATCTGCTCCCTTGTGCTATCTACACTCTACTGCCCCTTGTGCTATCTACACTCTACTGCCCCTTGTGCTATCTACACTCTACTGCCCCTTGTGCTATCTACACTCTACTGCCCCTTATGCTATCTACACTCTACTGCCCCTTGTGTTATCTACACTCTACTGCCCCTTGTGCTATCTACACTCTACTGCCCCTTGTGCTATCTACACTACTGCCCCTCTACTGCCCCTTGTGCTATCTACACTCTACTGCCCCTTGTGCTATCTACACTCTACTGCCCCTTGTGCTATCTACACTCTACTGCCCCTTGTGCTATCTACACTCTACTGCCCCTTGTGCTATCTACACTCTACTGCCCCTTGTGCTATCTACACTCTACTGCCCCTTGTGCTATCTACACTCTACTGCCCCTTGTGCTATCTACACTCTACTGCCCCTTGTGCTATCTACACTCTACTGCCCCTTGTGCTATCTACACTCTACTGCCCCTTGTGCTATCTACACTCTACTGCCCCTTGTGCTATCTACACTCTACTGCCCCTTGTGCTATCTACACTCTACTGCCCCTTGTGCTATCTACACTCTACTGCCCCTTGTGCTATCTACACTCTACTGCCCCTTGTGCTATCTACACTCTACTGCCCCTTGTGCTATCTACACTCTACTGCCCCTTGTGCTACACTCTATGCCCTCCTCCCACTTGTGTCTCTCTACGCCCTCCTACCCACTTGTGTTCTCTACGCCCTCCTCCCACTTGTGTTCTCTACGCCCTCCTCCCACTTGTGTTCTCTACGCTCTCCTCCCACTTGTGTTCTCTACGCTTGTGTTCCTCCTCCCACTTGTGTTCTCTACGCCCTCCTCCCACTTGTGTTCTCTACGCCCTCCTCCCACTTGTGTTCTCTACGCTCTCCTCCCACTTGTGTTCTCTACGCCCTCCTCCCACTTGTGTTCTCTACGCCCTCCTCCCACTTGTGTTCTCTACGCCCTCCTCCCACTTGTGTTCTCTACGCTCTCCTCCCACTTGTGTTTCTCTACGCTCTCCTCCCACTTGTGTTCTCTACGCTCTCCTCCCACTTGTGTTCTCTACGCTCTCCTCCCACTTGTGTTCTCTACGCCCTCCTCCCACTTGTGTTCTCTACGCCCTCCTCCCACTTGTGTTCTCTACGCTCTCCTCCCACTTGTGTTCTCTACGCCCTCCTCCCACTTGTGTTCTCTACGCCCTCCTCCCACTTGTGTTCTCTACGCCCTCCTCCCACTTGTGTTCTCTACGCCCTCCTCCCACTTGTGTTCTCTACGCTCTCCTCCCACTTGTGTTCTCTACGCCCTCCTCCCACTTGTGTTCTCTACGCCCTCCTCCCACTTGTGTTCTCTACGCCCTCCTCCCACTTGTGTTCTCTACGCTCTCCTCCCACTTGTGTTCTCTACGCCCTCCTCCCACTTGTGTTCTCTACGCTCTCCTCCCACTTGTGTTCTCTACGCTCTCCTCCCCCCTTGCGTTATCTACACTCATCCCCCCCCCCTTGTGCTATCTACACAGCAAAAAGCTACAGTAATAACTGTTAATGTTTCAGTCATGTTTTGTTCATTATTTTTATTTTTTAATGCATGACAGGTGCAGATAATATATATTCCAAGACAGCTTCTGCATTGTATGAAGAGAAATTTGGGTCTGTGGCCCAATCTACCCATCCTTTTGTTCCATGGGATGCAGAGCTGCCTTCACCATTTCATGGTATTATCACATTCCTACCATCTGTAAATCTAGATACCCGCTACAATACAGGGGCCAAATTCACGAAGCAGTTATGCAACTACTTACAAATGTGTACATCTTTCCTCAATCTTTGACAGCTTTGGTTACATTTATTAAACAGTTTACAAGCATGAAAACTTGCCAATCAACTGCTGCTGGTGTTATAAACAGCCTCCTGGTGCTTCAGAGCTCATTACTATTTAATAATTGTAAACAAAGCTGCCAAAGATTGAGAAAAGATGTACTGGTTCATAAGTGCTTGCATAACTGCTTTGTGAATCTGGCCCCAGATCTTATATTCCTGAAAATATTGTTCTATTATCCTCATGTATTGTTTTAGTCGATAGCAACTTAATTAAAAAATACAAGCATTTTCCATCTGCAAAATGTTTTAGGAGGTATACAGCCAGGCTAAAAATGGAGGCATGTTTTATATCACACAACAAATCTAAACAAAAGAAACAATAATCAATTACCGGAGTTGGAATTTCTGGAGCTGTAAGTTCCTCCTGTTTCGTCTCTTCGTCCGTTTCATGCACCACCGACACATTGTCTTTTAAGCCTGCTGTAACAGTCAAAATTTACTTCCAATGTCACAGTCAAAATTTACTTGCAATGTCATAGTTACCCAAACAACTGAATACCATAACATTTCATTCAAAACTTTCCTACGTGTTAAAAATGTATACTACTGTATATATATTAATTTGCTTAATTTGGTACCCATCGTCAGGGACAGGAAGCTTGTAGTTATGCTCACCAAGTTTTTCCCCATAGGCAACTACTGACCTTACCCAGGATGCAACCCATGGACTATTAGGTGCTAAAGATTATATAACCTACAATTTGCCCAGGTTCACAAGGAGTCTGGAAACACCATGCTGGTGGCCAATTCAAGTCCACAGATTAAGATGTGCACCTGGGGCTACCTAGGATGCTGGTTTGATCCCCATCCTTCTCCAAAGATTTTCTCAAATATATCACGTTATTGGTGACCAAAGCACACACCAGAGGATAAGGAGACGACGGCGTTTCGACTCGATAATCGTCTTGATAATGGAACGAGACGAACAGAAACATCGTCGTCGTCTCATCTCTCATCTTCTGGCGTGTGGTTTGGTCATCACATCTTCAGCCACATTATCGTGACTCATGGTCCGCATATCACGTTACTGTGATTTCCTTGTGAATTTCAAAGGAGCGTTTGGTGGAGAACTCACAGTTACCTACACCAGGGTGTATGCAGGTTATGTGTAGAATTTGGGTAAGCTACCAGCTCGGTGACGCCAGACTCCTAGTGAATTCATGAGGATCCCAGGTTACATAATCTTTACCATGTTGTGATCCATGAGTTAAGGCATGTATCTGAGGTCATCCAGGACACTGGTTCAATCCCTGTCCTGCTGCAAAGATTCTCATTAGTAACATCTACTTTCCTCTCAATCCATCCCTAATAAATAAGCAAATAATTTTGTTTTAATCATTAAACAGCCAATCAATGAACATTAGAGTGTGTAGGTCTAACAAATACATATAAAATAAGATTTTGGTTAAACAAGCAAGCCTATCTTATTTGCATCCTCAAAAGCCAATTGGTTAAAAGGAATGATGAAATGTATTGTATATCATACAGTAAATTTATATTTTATAATTTAAATGCAATCAAGCAAAAAAAATTGTAACATTATAAATATTTTATTAAACTAATGCCAGTCAATTAGTTTACTATCATAGCGTAACGCTAGATTAATTTCACACTTTAGTAATTCACGAAACAAACAGTACAGCGTGTTATTAAAAAATAATCTAAATGAAAAAACTGTAATACAGAACTGTTTTATCAATTAAAAACAATCAGCTACCATTAAAATAAAAATGATCAAACATTAATAATAGGTTCTCTCAACCAATCAAAACTGTTACAAAACAAATTAATTTCAATAATGAAAATTGTACAACATACTTGTATAGTATCCATATTTTGAGTCCACTAATGCACAGTACAAGTACTGTACAACTTTGTCAAAAATACTTCCAAGTCTCACAGTCATTGGTAGTTGAAAGCAACAAAATACAAGATGAATCGTTATTAACAAAACAAGCACTCCATGCCCTACCCTGCTTGCCTCGTAGCTCGACTAAGATGAGTGCGACGACCACCGACAGCGAGACTAGAAGCAACATGAAAATAATCTTTGCGACAATCCCACTGCTGTCACCGTTGCTAGTGCTTTGGTTCTTGCCACTATTATTTGCCGTCGGCTTGCCCTTCGCGTCTGTGGAGTCATCTTCAGTGTCATCTGTAAAGGGAAACACAACTTGAGTAACACTAATTCAACAAGGTTTATCATACACAATAGTTTGATGTAACGTGTGAAATAATGTTTAAATAACACTGTACCTGCTGGAGTTCGGTATAGCATAACCTTGCTCAAACAGATTACGTGGGACCACACCTGTTCCATTTCATCCAAGAATTTTGGTTCAAGCGTCTCACCATTTTTCACTATTTATTGTAAAATTTATGTAGTCAGCACAACGTTTATGACCTTTAATAAGAAAATAAATCTTTACACATATAGACCACTAAATATTATATAAACAACCCATTGCAAATATAATGGAGGTAAAAAAGTTTAAAGAAACAAAATTAATGAGAAATACTTTTGTTTATTAACAAAGTATTTCAGATGACTAAGTTATTCCTCAAACTTTTGTAGACATGGCAACATTGTTGGGGAGAAGAAGCCTTTATTTATGATTTATACAGGTCGTGTGAGGCCAACTACTGACCCTCCCCAGGATGCAACCCACACCAGTTGCCTACTTCCTAGGTACCTATTTACTGTTAGGTAAACAGTGGCATCAGGCATCAGATGAAAGGAAATATGCCCAAACATTTCTGCTCTGCCTGGGGATTGAACCTGAGGTACCTTGATTGTGAGATGAAGCACCGTGCTACTGGGTGAGAATACACTGTACTTGCAGAAAAAAAAGACAAATATTCCCACAAACACACATACACCCGTTGATTGACAGTTGAGAGTCGGAACCAAAGAGCCAGAACTCAACCCCCGCAAGCACAACTAGGTGAGCACATGAGTGTACTACAGTATACAGTACTGCCATTTGCTCCTGCAACTGTTCCACAATTCTCTTGGCATTAAACTCAAGACTAAAAAATTTGCCATTTATTAAATAGCCAGCTAAGTCATCATTACTCCTTAAACAAACCCAACCTAACGAAAATAAGATAAAATTGTGTTTTGTACGTAGTAATTACCGAAGTGTAACTATCGTACCTAAATGTAGTTACAGGATGAGAGCTATGTTCGTGGTGTCTCATCTTCCCAGTACCCTGTCATATAATACTTATAAACTACTGACGGGTTTGGCCTCGCTATCGCCTCACTTAACTTGTTCTAACTGTCTTCCAATCAGTTTGCAAAAAGTGAACTCATATCGTTTTTTGGGGAGATTTGTTTCCTTAGTTTGAACCTATGACTTCTTGTTCTTAAAGCTGCAGTTTTCAAGAATTCTTAATCAATTTTATTCATTCCTGTTACTATTTTGAACGTAGTGATCATATCTCCTCTTTTTCTTCAATCTTCTTCTTGTAGTATATATTGAAAACCTCAAGCCTCTCCTTGAAGATATGTTTCTTGGATCCAGGAGTCATTTAATTACATGTCCTGACACCTCCAGTTTATTGATGTGCTTGAGATATGGGCACCATACAACTGCTGCATATTCCAACTTTGGTCTCACAAAGGTCATGAATAATTTCTTTAATATTTCGCCACGTATTTAAATGCAATTCTGAAGTTGGAAAGCTAACATACACTCCTCACACAATGCTCTTGGGACATGAGATATTGTAGGAAAACATTTTAGATGTATTAAATCATTCTTTATTTATTGTAATTTTTTTTAAATTGATGCAGACTAATATGAGTGGCACTACCTATCTCCAGTGGCACTCACTATCTATCCTCCCCCCGTGGCACTCACCACCTATCCTCCCCCCGTGGCACCACCTATCCTCCCCCAGTGGCACTCACCACCTATCCTCCCCCCGTGGCACACGCCACCTATCCTCCCCCGTGGCACTCGCTACCTATCCTCCCCCGTGGCACTCGCCACCTATCCTCCCCCGTGGCACTCGCCACCTATCCTCCCCGTGTGGCACTCGCCACCTATCCTCCCCCCGTGGCACTTGCCACCTATCCTCCCCCCGTGGCACTCGCCACCTATCCTCCCCCCGTGGCACTCGCCACCTATCCTCCCCCCGTGGCACTCGCCACCTATCCTCCCCCCGTGGCACTCACCACCTATCCTCCCCCCGTGGCACTCGCCACCTATCCTCCCCCCGTGGCACTTACCACCTATCCTCCCCCCATGGCACTCACCACCTATCCTCCCCCCATGGCACTCACCACCTATCCTCCCCCCGTGGCACTCACCACCTATCCTCCCCCCGTGACACTCACCACCTATCCTCCCCCATGGCACACACCACCTATCCTGTACCGTATAGACTAGTAGGCCTAAAGGGTAACAAAGACTGAATGGGATATAATAAAGGAGCAGCCTAAATAAATGATACAATTAAGAGCCCAAACGTTATATAATGAACAAAAGTGTTGGGGGAAAGGTGGAATCTTGGTACTAAATAAACCATAATATTAAGAGGCAGAAAATGGGAAAGCAAGACATGTGATCACAGGGGTGAGGACAAGGTTGGCACCACTGGAAGATGGCGACAGTGGCGCCAACTTTCCGTCTCGAGACCAAGACGGGTTATAAGGCTCACACCGGACCTCTTGAACACACACATATGTAATGTTAACACCAACTACAATATACAACACTTATATTGCTGGAATATAGATGGTAAACAGCGGTGATGGAGAATATACGGAGTTTTGTATAGTCTCAAGAGGCCACTAACACTACAGCCCCCCCCCCAACTCCACCCCATAAACATCTCCCTCCTCCGCCCCCCCCCCCTTCTCACCCCCCCCTTACATAATATCTACGCCCCCCTGTGGCGTAGACGATGGTGAAGACGATGATTTCGGGGTCTTAAACACTTTTAGAACTGTGCACCACAGCTCAGTCTTGGGATTTATCCTAATTGCTCTCTCTGGTCAGGAAAACCCTGGGTAAATACTGGCTTGGAAACAGGGTTGTTAATTTGTGGAACACATTACCGGGTAACATAATAGACGCGGGATCACTGCATTGTTTCCAGCGTAGGTTAGACACTCACACACACGAGTTTGGGTGGATGTAAATAGCTGCTACCACTTATGGGTCAGTAGGGGTCCCGTACTTTCCTTAATTCTTATGTTGTGTTTCAGATTATCAGCTCCGAGCCCCACAATCTTTCGCCCGCCCCCACCCCCCCCCCTCCGTCAAGTCTTGGAACAGGCTTCCTGGTTGATAGTCTGTTCAGTCAAACTGTTGGTACAAGCAGTTACACGATTCGGATCTCAGCAAAGGCAAAAGTTTATATTACTCTATTGTCCAAAGTGATCCATATTTTGCCGAGAGAACATTTAAGGTATGTCGCCCACTGCTCCAGCCCCTGGAGGCCTGGTCGACGACCGGGCCGCGGGGACGCTAAGCCCCGGAAGCATCTCAAGGTAGCCCACCCGCCCCACTGACGTAATGGGGGACTTGTGAAAGCATGAGAGGACAGGGGGAAGAGGGGGGGGGGAAGGTTATCCTAGTGAGGCTCTCACCATCATGATAACCAGGTGATGATAAGATGAAGTGCCTGGTGTTATCTCTGATCACACTCGACTCGTGTATCAGTATGACGCACCTTCAGACACTGGTTAATCTCAAGCTGTGAACATGGTCTCTTCTCTACCCACTTCCTCGCCTGGCTCAACCTGGCAACGTCAGGTTCCTCGAGCAGGAACTACCAGTCTCAAACTTTAGTGCGCATTCCCTGAGTGTTTATACACACCCACCTACACATTCTCAAGACGAATTGACAGGGTGGGCAAAGACACACTATTGAGCTTGGGTGGAACACGAACAAGGGGACACAGGTGGAAACTTGGTGCCCAAATGAGCCACAGGGACATTAGACTATAATTGTTTCACTCTCAGAGTAGTTAACAAATGGAATGCATTAAGTAGTGTTGTGGTGGAGGCTGACTCCATACACAGTTTCGAATGTAGATTTGATAGAGCCCAGTAGGCTCAGGAATCTGTACACCAGTTGATTGACGGTTGAGAGGCGGGACCAAAGAGCCAAAACTCAACCCCCGCAAGCACAACTAGGCGAGTACACACACACACACACACACACACACACACACACACACACACACACACACACACACACACACACACACACACACACACACACACACACACACACACACCCACACCCACACACACACACAAGGAGGCGATTTGAGAAGGGACAGAAGAAAGTGAGCCTCAAAGCGATGTACACAAACATAGATGGAATTACAAATAAAGCAAATGAGCTTGGAGAACTGGTACTAGAGGAAACCCCAGACATAATAGCCCTCACAGAAACAAAGATCACGAAAGCGATAACAAATGCAGTGGTCCCACAGGACTATTATGTTATGAGGAAAGAGAGGGAAGGAAGAGGTGGGGGTGGTGTAGCTCTGCTGGTAAGACAAGGCTGGGATTTTGAGGAGATGGATATTCAGGGCTGCGAAGGTTTCAGTGACTACATAGCAGGTACTGTAACAAATGGAGGGAAAAAAATTATAGTCGCAGTCATATATAATCCACCACCAAATGACAGAAGACCTAGACAGGAATATGATAGAAACAACATGGCCACCATTAACATAATAGAAAGAGCAGCTTCTGTTGCTAGCAGGAATGGATCTGGACTACTAATTATGGGAGACTTCAACCATGGGAAGATAGATTGGAAGAACAGAGACCCGCATGGAGGACCAGAAACATGGAGAGCTAAGCTGCTGGACGTGGCAACAAGAAACTTTCTAAGCCAGCACACCAAAGAACCAACAAGAATGAGAGGAGAAGATGAACCAGCAATGCTTGATTTGATATTTACCCTAAATGAATGGGATATAAGGGAAGTTAAGATGGAAGAGCCCTTGGGAATGAGTGACCACAGTGTATTGAACTTTGAGTACCTGGTAGAGCTAGGACTTATCTCCCCCCAAAAAGAACTAGGAATCAAAAGGCTGGCATACCGAAAGGGGAATTATGAACAGATGAGAAGTTTCCTAAGTGAAATACCTTGGGACACAGACCTCAGAGACAAGTCTGTACA